TGAAGTGCTACAACCATTATTTCAGCCCTGAAATTATAGTTTAATTATAAGGCAATTCTTTAATTCCTTCAAAATTATAATAATTTTCCAGATAAATAAAAAGTCTGGTTTATTCAATTCAGATGTATTATTTATAACATCACTGCACAACATCATAAAAATGTCAAAATTGACAAAATTGTCATTTAAAATATGCTGGTAAAATTTTGGTCAAGATGAAATAAACGTGTATAAAGCAACAGGACTACCTAGAAAGATATTCCACTCATAACACTATCTTTGTATATAAGACATTTGTGGCACAGAATATTTTTGACCAAGACTGATGCTCAAAACAGATATTGATGAGAAGGTTTTGAAAAAGGGCAACCTTGGCAGTTCATGTAATTTATATTAATTCAAAAAAAATTTGGACCTAAAACAAATGTGTAAGACAATGTGATAATTGAGAGATTAATGCCTTGTGAACATCTGAAGGATATTGTTTATCATGTTGTATAATATTTTGTATGTTTTTTTATTCTAGGGGTTAAAATAATGGCTTTTCATAATTTTTTTTTCTAAAAATTTATCAACATTCTTTACACCTTTTGAAAAACTAAGCTAAGATATCCATGTAAAAGAAACCACAGTAAAAAATAAAAGTGAAAAAATCACATTATGAAATATAATAACTAAATATCACTATAAAGATATGATATTTAAAATTCCTAAATTTCAATATCATCAAGATCTGAATGAGACCCACAAAAGACCTCCAACCATGATACAAAGAGAACTTTTCAAATAAAAATCTCTCGAGTCCTCACTATATGATACCAGTTTGCCCATTAAATGCAGAAATAACATAAAAAAATAATGTTATAGTAAATGAGGATATTCTGGTAATGTAAATGATATGAATTTAGCATATTGCACATGTTGTAACGGGTTTTGTAATTCACTATTTCAAAATCTAAAGGATTACAGAGAATTTTATTGTTGGTGATCGTGAGTCATTGGTAATTGGGTTGAATTTTCATTGTTTAAGACATTTTTTACCAATCACAATATGTTGGTGTACACTAGGAAAATATTAGAGAATGCTACATATTCTAAAAGGGTGAGTTGGGTATATAACCTCAAAGGTCACTATAACATGAACACTGACTTAGCTGCTTTGTAGTAAAATGGAGCAAATGATGTTAATATTTTAATACTTCACACTTTTGAAACTGTAGATTTGTGTAATAGAATCTCATATGATTTTTAAAAAATTGGACTGAAGGAAAAACAATGATATTATTTATAATGCATTTGTGTGTACATGTAAACTGTGATAGTTTTTGGTTAATTACAGCATCTTCTATATTGTGCCATATAAGCTGGTTATAAGGGGGAGTTTAGAATTGGAGAAGTTTGAAAATTTTGTACTGTGCAAACTTCAGAAATTTTTGGCCTTATACATTTTTATAAGCCCCTTTACGGGACGTATTATGGTATACCGTTGACCGTCTGTCAGTCTGTCCGTCCATTCGTCGTCAACATGTCGGACATTAACTCAAAAAAACTTTAACCAATATGCATGAAACTTTGGTGAATTGTTTATATCAATTGACGTGAGCTCCCTTTCATTTTTTATTAATTTCAGATTTACCGTTTCTGAGTTTTGGGGTTTTATTCATTAAAAAAGGGGGGATTTTCCAGTTTTCCGACAATAACTCAAGAATGCTTTCACCAACTTGCAAGAAATTTTGGTGAATTGTTTATATCTATTGACATGAGCTCCCTTTCGATTTTTATAAATTTTAGATTTTACGTTTCAAAGTTACAGGGTTTTATTCATATCCAGCTGCTCTCAGCGAAGCAGTTTATTTGCCTTGATGTTAGCAGTGGGGCATTTACTGCCAAATTCCAAAAAATATTCTTTTGTGTAAGTATAGGCATATCATTATTTTATTCTCCCATCATCAGGGACTTGCAATAGAAAATGGCATATAATGCTTTTTTAAATCAAATTTTAATTGAATAGTGAAGAAGCTTGAACATTAAGAAAAAATGATGATAAAATAATATGAAATAACATAGAGGTATTCGGCATAATGTTATGCTATGGTGATATTTAGTTATCTGTATGTACATGTGTTGTAGTATATTAAATATGTTTTTATTTACTAAAGTTGAAAATTCTAATAAAAATATTTATTCCCTCCTTGCGTGTGTTATGTTAGCAGTCTGGTTTTGTGCCATACAATACTTTGGAGATCACACCATGTTTTGTCAGTGGTTTATATGTTCTGGTTAAGATCTGATATTGAATATTAGCATCCTGACTAATTCCAAATCCCTTATTTTGAACCATCTTCAGTCCTTGATGTTCCCCCTAAGTCCCGGAGGTCATGTGTTATATCCCAAGCCAGGGAAACTTAAAAATTGTTATATGCTGCCTCTCTACTAAGCAGGATGTATTTATGAGTTAGAGTAAAGAATGTTTGACATGCAGTGAGAATAATGTATCTATGTAGGTTGACATCTCCTCCTGCCAACTGTGTTACCTTAAAAACTAGCATGGCTCAGTTGTTTGGTCTAGTACAAAGCAGGGTTCATAATCATATAACATTACAGTTACATTTTTCTTGTCCTGATCAGAAAGTCATATTTGCAACTGGATGTTATACATCAACTATCCATACAACAATGCTTGCCTTGAGTGTAGGAATGATGGGGTTAATAATCACTGCTTAGATCAATTCAAAGACTTAAAAATAGCTTTTTGCTCCTTTCAACTGACAAGGCAGGATTTAGGTCTCTAAGGTGAAAGAGCAACAAAAGGATGGTTAAAGACAGAATAAAATGTCCCATAAGAGGGACTTGGTTCTCCTTCAGACTGTTACTTTGAGACATAGATAGTAGTATGCTAAAAATGTTGTCCTGATTATGGGTTAAACATAATTTGCAAAACATTACATGTTTGTTTATCAAAATTATTTGACAATGAGTATAAAATTTTGCAAACCAATTTTAAAATGTCTATCTTTCTGGTGGACTTGCAATTAGATACAAAAGTTGTAATGATTCTGTTCTTACAGTAATATATAACAAGTGAGAGTAACTAAAACAACTAGACACAAAAAAAACAAAACAACATTGACCAAAAAAGGGAAAAGTATTGGATATTATTTACATTTGTAAACAACACCATAAACTAGAACTTTGGGTGAAAAAAACTCAAACCATAGTCAGGAGAGATATTAGGTGTTTTGGAAGTGTATAATGGGAAATTCTTTTGGATTGAAGCACACTAGGTGAAGACAAATAATTGCTGTTGCCTTGTTTGAACACAATTAATATTGACATAAAAAGACAAAGAAAACTGAATTAGCGACAGTCAAACCTTAACATGTTAAACCCCGCCACATTCTGTATGTATGTGCCTGTCCCAAGTCAGGAGCCTGTAATTCAGTGGTTGTCGTTTGTTTATGTGTTACATATTTGTTTTTCGTTAATTTTTTGTATATAAATTAGGCCGTTAGTTTTCTCGTTTGAATTGTTTTACATTGTCATTTCGGGGCCTTTTATAGCTGACTGTGTGGTATGGGCTTTGCTCATTGTTGAAGGCTGTATGTTGACCTATAGCTGTTAATTTCTGTGTCATTTGGTCTCTTGTGGAGAGTTGTCTCATTGGCAATCATACCACATCTTCTTTTTTATATTAACAATTATCAATTACATAGATAGTCAGGTTAGGATGAAGTTAAATGGTTATGAAAATGTAATTGTGGGTGTTTCTGTTTGAAAAGAAGGAAGTGATTTTTGTTACATCAAATTGGCACTGTGAGGGTTAGATGTGTATCCCTTTCAACAAGTATTTGTGTATGCAAACCCCAAATACATATTTTAGACATTTGTATAATTACTTGTTTACTGAACAAATATAATAATTCTCAATTCTATTCAAGAAAATGAGCTTTCACAAATGTTTATCATAGTTTATGTTTCAATGTTTTAACGACTTTAACATTTATGCATTTTCCTGTACAATGCTTATGTTCTTATGTCACAATAAGGGTCAATGGTTCAATGATGTCATTTACACAGATTGACCTCAGGTAACTCATTCATAAAAAGCATACATGAGAGTATGATTCGAATGGCCCAAACAAATAATGAAGTTGCTGATCAGCTGACATACAATATACAATATATTCCTATTTTACCACAGGTGTGTTATATTAGAATATCTAGATTTATATGGACCACCTGAGGTCATATTAACTAAGTATTGTTAAGTGCATCTGTATCTGTTGTTAAAGGTAGTATTGGGGGACTAATAAAATAAATGACAGGAATTTTTCATACTTCGCAAAATATTGTTCATATTGTGCCATTTTCAAAAATATAGTAAAATGGAGAAGATCTCCAATTTTGTTTGCAATCTCCTGGTTGTGAAAAATTAAACATTTTGTAAGGATTATACAAGGAAAGGCATTATAGAATGAAAACTTATTGACAGAATTATGAAATAATATATAAGCTACAATATGAGAAAGAAAAAATTACTGCAGATTACTTAAATAAACTAAATTACCTTATTTGTCTCCCCTTTTAAGGCTTAAGTTTATTTGTTTATGTATTCTATATTTGTAAAATAAAATTAATAATAATATAAAATAACATAAATTTCTTCATTTAAATGAAAAAACTTACAAATGTGTTACATTCCTGCAAAATATGCTAATTTTATTAAAAACTGGACCTATTGTTTGTGCTAGTTCATGATCAAAGATGGCAAAAGACAACCATACTACCTCAAGTTGACTTGTTCTGGCATTGTTGTCTGGAGTTTTTGGAGTTTGAGTTGATGAATTGTTATGTACAATTGATATCACTAAGCATTGCTGGTATTATTGCAAATAATAGGAAGACTAATACCTAAATGTAGTTTTGCAAAATGTCTCTCTAGTCCTCTACTATTGTATGTTTTATCTTTTTTTCTCAGGGAGCTAATATGACAAACTGCAGTGGTTAAAAACTGAATTTATTAAAATCTAAAATTTCAATGAAGGTCATAAACAATTCAAATCTGTATAAAAATAATCTGTCCAACAGAAATCAGGTTTGTATTAAAATCTTCATACCAGCCTTTAAGATAAAATGTCATGTTCTACATGTAGTAAGATTAAAAGGACAAAATATGAAGCTACAACAATCTGTTATCATACCATTTAAGTTACATGTATTTAAAATGTTTTCATGACAATAGCACCAAAATACAATGAAACACCACATTGTAATTGCACATATTTAAAATGGCTGTTTTTCAAAAATGCAATGGGTGACCTTGTTCTCGAGTGTTTAACCTTCATATTAAATAGACAACATCCTACTCTCATAGTAAACTACTGAAATATGTCTGACATAGATTGAATGCAGGTAGCAGAATATATTTAGTGCCTGTCAGTTAACCTTTACCTGTGACCTTGAATTAAAATAAGAGGTATAATCTCAATGCCTAATACAAACAATTAAATACTAGCCACTGTTTAAATAAACCAAAAAAAATGACTACCATAATACAGGGATCAAAACTACAGACCCCTGGAAAAGTAAGCCAGTGCTCTTATAATTTAACTAATTGAGGGCAGATATATATCTTAATAAGAAGATATCCATCACTACACATATACACAGGTTGCTCTAAAGGGCATAACTCCCACTGATTCTATGATATCCTTACATATGACTAATTAAGTGGGGAATGTGTCCATGGGACACAGATGATGCCCCCGCTTGCATTTAACATCATAAAGGGACATAACTCAAGAACTGTAAAAGTGACGCTACCCAAATTTGTACTTGGTCTGAGTTTTGTAGTAATAAGCATTGTGTATAAGTTTCATAACATTTAGTTGAGGCAAACTTTGTTAGAGAACGGAAACGAAAAATTCAGCATTTTTTCTATTTGTAAAGGGGCATAACTCTAGAATGGTAAAAGTGATGCCACCAAAATTCAAACTTGATCTGTGTTTTGTGGCAATAAGCATTGTGTATAAGTTTCATAACATTTGGTTGAGGCAACTAAAGTTAGATAACGGAAACCAATTTTGGGATTACGTACATACAGACGGACAAGGGTAAAACTTAATGCCCCCTCTGCTATGGAGGGGCATAAAAAAACAATGAACTTCAAACTGTCATACCAACTGTTTTCTCTTGGAAGATTTTTTAAATAGTGTCAAATGCTTTCATTACAATATTACTACAGAATTCTGTGATCACTTCCATAAAACATTCATAAATATGATAGATAAAATATACAATTCAGTTAAATCTATAACAATAATAAAATAAGACTAGTTGAGTGAACCTAGTGGCAGTCATTTTATATTTGATCAACAAATTAATATCTCAATAAAGTTAATTATAAATCATACATCTTTAATAACATGATATTTTAAAGCACAATAATTTTTAAATTCAAACATACTGACCTGAGTATAAAGAGATTCATAGCATTCCCTGAAATTATGGTTTCAAATTTTACAAATAATAAAAATGGAAATAGTTGCTCTCTGTATTGTTTTTTTTATTGGGAAAGACAAAAATGGATGACAAGGAGACTTACTCACTTGGCATTTTTGGCTAAAAACTGATACAATATAATGGATATTGTTTTGGCCAAAATTTTGTCAGGCTGATAATTTTTGCTAGTAGTTTTCAAGATTATATGCAAAATTAGAAAAAAAATGGGTTAAACTGTGATTTAGGGGCAACAACTTCTGTTAGGAGTTGATTGACAATTTCATTCTTGATTTATTTGTAGATCTTGTGGTGCTGATCTTTTTTTTGCTGTTAAAAGTTTCAGTTTAACTATCATAATTTTCGAGATATTTCATAAAACATTAAAAATTTATCAAAAAATCATTACTTCGGAAAATAACTCTTATAAGGAGTAGATTGACAGTTTCAGTCTTTAAATAATTGGTAGATCATATTTTGCCATTTAGTTTCCCTCAATTTCCTATTGTGTTCACCAAAAATGCAAAACATGGAAAAAAAACCTCAATGAAGGGAAATAACTCCTATAAAAGAAATCATCTGATTATTGCTATTTAACAGTTTCTCTCTATTTCTCCTATAGTTTCTAACAAAACATAAATTTCTGTGAATGATATTTTCCTAAATGCCACATCTTTTTATTATTATTCAAAACAATATTAAAAATTTGAAGACTGTAAAGTTCTACAATGTATTTAATTGGGTACAGTGTAATATGAGGTATGAAGTGCTACAACCATTATTTCAGCCCTGAAATTATAGTTTAATTATAAGGCAATTCTTTAATTCCTTTAAAATTATAATAATTTTCCAGATAAATAAAAAGTCTGGTTTATTCAATTCAGATGTATTATTTATGACATCACTGCACAACATCATAAAAATGTCAAAATTGACAAAATTGTCATTTAAAATATGCTGGTAAAATTTTGGTCAAGATGAAATAAACGTGTATAAAGCAACAGGACTACCTAGAAAGATATTCCACTCATAACACTATCTTTGTATATAAGACATTTGTGGCACAAAATATTTTAGACCAAGACTGATTTTCAAAACAGATATTGATGAGAAGGTTTTGAAAAAGGGCAACCTTGGCAGTTCATGTAATTTTTATTTATTCAAAAAAAATTTGGACCTTAAGCAAATGTGTAAGACAATGTGATAATTGAGAGATTAATGCCTTGTGAACATCTGAAGGATATTGTTTATCATGTTGTATAATATTTTGTATGTTTTATATTCTAGGGGTTAAAATAATGGCTTTTCATAATTTTTTTTTTCTAAAAATTTATCAACATTCTTTACACCTTTTGAAAAACTAAGCTAAGATATCCATGTAAAAGAAACCACCGTTAAAAATAAAAGTGAAAAAAATCACATTATGAAATATAATAACTAAATATCACTATAAAGATATGATATTTAAAATTCCTAAATTTCAATATCATCAAGATCTGAATGAGACCCACAAAAGACCTCCAACCATGATACAAAGAGAACTTTTAAAATAAAAATCTCTCGAGTCCTCACTATATGATACAACTGTTAATAAGGTAGTTGTATAAAATATAAATGCTGGTATGGTCTGCCTTTGTTTTATAGTCAGAAGAGAAGAATTTCCTGGAAACTTTTCATATAGATTAGAGTCTGGATCATAAAATCCTGTCAAAATTCTGAAAAGTAAAAGGAAAGTAATTAAATAGAATATTGTCAATAAAACTATCTCCTTTATAGCACTACTACACATTTTTTATAAAAGTTTCACTTGGAAGATTTTTAAAAGATGACAGGCTCACCTCAAGAGGTTTCATAAAATGTATCTATATCTATAGCAAGGTTTTAAAACAAGAAACCTGAAAGAATGTCCTGTTTGACAGGGATTTTTCATTCCATATGACATAATTAAGATGAGTTGTGTTAGAGTAACAGGTTACTTTTAATGCCAAAATCTACTAAATTTTACCTGTCTTTCTTAGCAAACTGTTTATAACACCATTGTTGTAATTTGCTATCCTCGATTGGTATATCTTTTATATTTATTCTTTCAACATTCATATGAATTTCTGGAGATTTTCCCATCACAAAATCTGAAAAGTTCAATACTGATTTAAGATAGGATTGAGATACAATGCACAAGCAGATATTTGAAAAGACAAACAAACAGATCAATTGACACTAAAAACATGTTATTACAAAGGGGTTTGAAGTATAAAATATACTATTAAACATATTATTAATAACAAGGGAAAAGGGTTAAACATTATTCAAAGTTAAAAATCAAAATCTCTAGATATACAAAATCATCTTCACAATTAATGTTAAATAATTGTTTACTTTCTATACAACCTATATTTGTTTATTACAGCTTATTTAAAAAGTTTTAATTTTTCCTGTTAGTTCTGTGTATTGAACAAGGATGGCAAATATCATTCCTGAACTCCTAAAATGCTTTGTGTTTTTTTTTTATTATCATTATCAATAGAGTATTGTGGTAGAATCTATATACATGTGTAATGAATTACTATGTCATGCAAAACTTAGGTTCACATGTATCATCTAAACTACCTGGCATTCCATATGCTGGAATTCTCTCCCTTGTTTCTGTATCATATGTGTTGCTATAAGCAATTGTGACATCATATACAGCTGACACATGGTCTTTCAGTTCTCTTAAACTAGATTTTAAAGCTGTAATTCTTGGTGTAAGCACATGATGTAATTCCTTAAACCCTGTCAAAATATATTACAAAAATATTTTAACTGTTTTAAATCTTAAGTATTTATAATTGAAACAAAAGTTCCATAGATAAATGACATGTTTTACATTATAATTTATTAACTTAAGTAAAAGTCTGGTCAGATCATTTACAGTCATTTGTTATCCATAAAATGTTGACACAGAGATATGTCACACCTGTATGCAATTTTGATAGTATAGTGCAATTGTTGAAATTAAAATGGCAAAACTTTCAATGTCAATGCACCTGGTGAGGGGGTGGGGCCATATAATTATGATATAATCTCCATGGAAATAATATGTGCTAAATGCTAATACAACTGCATACCAAATATATTTGACTTACCATTTGTGATTCCCTTTAAAATGACTTAAATCACAAACTTTTGATGCTGCTGGAAACAGCATGCTTAAGTCTCCCATCTGCGGCACAGTCAAGCAGAGATAAAATTAACTACACTAGCTTAATTGATAATTTACCAAAAGACCATTACAGGTACTCTTATTGAACTGAGATTAAATTAAGGACTTCGTCTCTAATTCTGTTGACATATTTCTTGACCAATTTTCTTACCCATCAGATTGTTATGTTTGATGTTGATAACATACTTAAAAATACAGTCATATTGGTTCTTAATTATCAGGCCCATTCTGTCTGAAAACATTAACTACCAATACTAGGTACCTACCTAGATCAAGAGCATACTTTTTGCTTTTGTCTATGACTTCAGGTAAATGAGGATTATAACGAGTTCCCTCAGGATAAATAACGAGCCATACCTATCAAATAAATAATAATCTGCATGATAAACTTTTAAAAAAAGTTAATATCAGCTTGAGCTTGATGCCATAGACAACCTATGATGTTGAATGAGGTCATATTTAAGATTAGCCTGATGTTTTGTGCAAAATATACTTTTTTCAGAAACATTTGGGATAAATTAACAAAGACCACAAGTATTGCTATATAAACAAGGAAAAATTAAGTTTCAACAAAATTAGCAAAATTTCCTTAAAGTCAATAGATTCAACATTTATTTGCAAATTAGTGGAAATTATGATACAATTTTGATTTAAGGATCAGTTGAGCTCTAATAATTTATTCTCTTATGTTAACAATTTTTCTACACTGAAGGTGATTTAGAAATTGACACTTTGCATAATTAGTTGAGCAGAAAGGTGACCCCTCTTTACGCCTTTTACATGTGCTGATAAATTGCTGTCTCATTCTCTTATACCTCTCATCTCCTTTGATTTAAATAGGAAATATTAATTTCCCCTCTTTACACTTTAACCTTTTTTTAGAGTTTAATACTTACAGGAATTTCATTATTCTTTAGATACTGTAATTCTTTAATAAACTTTTCTCCATTGAATTTTCCACTTCTACCAACAAATACACAGCTATGCTAAGGAAAAATAAAAATCAATCATGATTAAAGATACTACGAAAGCATTTATAGTACATTAATAATCAATCCAAGAATTCAAATTTTAAAAAATATTCAAAAGAGTAACCAAATACTACATTATTTGATGAATGTGTGAATTAATAATTTTGTTATATGACTATTAAGTTCAATATTTTTCAATTTTTTTTTTCATTGGTTTGGTTTTTTTTTTTTATTGCAAAAGACTTTACAATTCAATATGCAAATAAAGAGCTGCACCATGAGCACATGATACGCCAAACGCCCTATTAGCTCCTGATTAAGTTTTAAAGGAATTTGTATGATCAACCAGAAATTCTGTGAGCACTGCTCAAATAGACCCCCCCCCAAAAAAAAAAAGTGCACACAGTGTTACCTATTGACACAAAACAACTATTTTTCAAGAAAAAAGTTCCATAACTCAGCTATGTCATATCAGAAATTTATAAAAACAAAAGGAAGCTTATTTCAATAGATATAAACAAGTCACCAAAGTTTCATGACATCTCCTCTAAGCATTTTTGAGTTTTTGTCTGAAAACTGGAAAATCCCCTTTTTTATGAATAAAGTCCCAATACTCCAAAAAGAAAAATAAGAATTTTTTAAAAATTGAAAGGGAACTTATGTCAATACATTGTAAATATAAAAAATTCATCAAAGTTTCATAAAAATTGCTGAAAGAATTTTTGAGCTATAGTCAGAAAACTGGAAAATCCCCCATTTTTATGAATAAAATCCCAAAAGTTCTGAAATTAATAAAAATTGAAAGGGAGCTTACGTCAACAGATATAAACAATTCACCAAAGTTTCATGAAAATTGGTGAGTGTTCTTGAGTTATTGTCCACAGTGTTGAAAACTGTATACCATAATATGTCCCATCTTTAAAGACAGGTGTATAAAAACTATATCTTTGCACCACACTCTCACCCCGTTCTAAATGCTAATTCATTGACAACACCTATTGTTGCATGAAGTCAGAGGAGTGACACTACAGGATTTATTTCACATGTGAAATTTCTGTTTTTATTTGACTAGGAAATAGTGGTATTTCATTGCAACCAATACATACACTGAGAATTATTTAATAATTTAAGAACAATAACAAACGACTGATACCTGATAACAGTAGAAACCATAGATTGGTAGATATTTTAGTCCACTTTTCATAACATATCTGACCATGCCGGTACATTGTTTTTGTTCTGATAACATACAGGCGACAATCCAATCAACTGAAAATAGTATCATTTAGTAAACTATTTTAACAAGTTATTAGCTTTATATTAAACCAATCATCTAATTTCTTTTTAATTTTTGCTATTTTTACATTGCAAATAATGTTGCAGCTTTACCATACCTGTATATCAAATATGTGATTATTAACAATTCAGCACAGACCTTCAATACTTTGAAGCCAGATTGTAAATGATCAGCACTAATTTTGGAACTCGTCCCAGACATTGTTGATATAAACCTTTGATGTAAATTTCATAATAATCAAAATGTAGGTATGAGAGTGGTTACAATGCATATAATTTATATTTCCAAGGGACCTCACTCCAACATAAATTGTTCATCAGCACTCATTTTTGAACAGGTACATGTATGAGACATTGCTGATATAAACCTTTGATATAAATTTCATGACAATCTGGCAAGAATTGTAAACTTGAGAGCACTTACAGAGCATTTACATTTCCAAGGATATAATTCCTATGAAAATTATTGATAAGCGATTTCCAACTCTTCCCATTGCTCATATTATCATTTGATAAAAAATTTATAACAATCCTATAAGAAATATAGGACAGAGGGCTTACAATTCAATTTTCCATATGATTTATATTTCCAAGGTGCACAACTCCTTAAAAAATAGTTCTTATGCACTGATTTTTTAACTTGTCAGAAACATTTCTAATATAAACATGATATAAATTGCATAAAAATCTGGCTAGAATTCTACTGCGAGAACACTCGTAAGACTGGAAGAAGGGACAGACGCCTGGTATTTCTATTTCCCCTTGTACATTATTGCACCAGGGACAATGTTATTGTTTGGTAATAAGTTATGTCACCATGCTATTGGAAGGTTAATGGAAAAATTCAATTAAAATTAGCGCATAAAACAATATCTTATCAACTTATATATACATTACCGGTATTCTTAATATTTTTTTTGTATTTTCGTCTTCAATCCTTGTTTTCACTTGTGGCTGTTAAGAATACTTATTTTTTAGGACTGATACAAAACACATCCATGTGATTTATAAAATTTTGATACACTATCTTAATCTATGATAAATACTACTTACCTGTACACTGGTGATTCGAAAGGTAGATAACATTTTCATCTCTTTCCTGTATATCTTCAATATCACCATATACATACACCTGTAAAAAGTACAGAATAAATAATGTTTCAACGAATTCTATGATAACCAAATTTGGCAGACTGTTTATTTGACACATTCATGACATTAGCAGGTTTTTTCTGCCCAACATTTCTTATGTTTAAGGTTCATGTGGACCCTTTGGCTAAAATGGCTGCATTTTCACCTCAAAATGAGTATATGAGTACAGACAAACCTGTGCATCTGGAAAAGTTTTAAGGCATAGCATGCCCTAGGTAAATAAAATTCAAATGCATTGTATGTTTTAGAAAATTTAAAACTTAACTGGATTTTGCAGTGCACTTTTTTTCGTCCCTGCAGAAGATGATAAAATTAACAAACAATTGAGTTTCACTTAATATTGTCCACTCAGGTACACATTTTAAATCACCAATTATTGTCAGGTATCTATTGTCCATGCCAATCAATACAGTTCACTTCAATTATTACCTGTGGGGAAGTTCTCAAATCTCTTTCCCAACTTAGTTTATTTTGGCACCTTCTGAAGGAACGAAAAAAAAAAGTACACTGCAAAATCCTGTAAAGTTTTTAATTTTCTAAAACATAAAATAAATTTGAATTTTATTCATCTAGAGCATGCTATGGCTTAAAACTTTTCCAGATACACAGGTTTGTCTGTACTCAAGAGTAAATTTTGAGGTGAAAATGCAGCCATTTTAGCCAAAGGGTCCACATGAGAAAAACAATGTATTTATCAATGTATATGGACTATGACTTTTCTATTACTGGTCGTTAGACTTGATACTTAAAAAGGTTTCTTTTGGTCAACATCAACAAGCACTGCACAAAGTGTAATGAAAACACAGAATTTCTAGCTTGGATCTGAAACTTTTCTTAATATGCCAATCTGTGACCTTGCCATTGGAAAAAGAACTTGAACAGGAAGCATACTCTTAAAATCGAACATTCCAAGAAATTAGAGTCTTTTGACTTAGAAGGCTGGATTGCTCAGCAACTTGGCAAATTTACCCTTTAAATGCTCATTGAGAGGAGAAAATTTAGCTTCCATCTATTGGTCAGGATTCAAAGAGAAAACCATGCTTATATTATCCCTGGAACTAATACATTGAAGGGACATGAAACTTCTAACAGTATTGAACAATAACTAAATTTTTCAGTGTCCCAGAGTTACTAATTTACTTGACATAGCTTTTGATCTACAGTACACTGTACATAAAATTATTCTGTAAATTACATGATTATGTCTCAAAGAAGAAATATTATTGTTTAATGCAAGGATTTGTATATCAATCCTTATTTAATGTAATTAACAAAAAAAGAAAGTTAAAGCACAGAATCTGTATAAAAAAAGAATGCAAAATCAGTGCTATATTGATCTGTAATTAATCAATAATTGGGTTACAATTATCAGTGATTCACTTCATATGCTTCAGAGAATTAGCAAAATTGCATAACTTTAACTTGCTAACATACCTGGTACATGTATAAACTAATCAAAATGCAATACAATATATATATGTTTACTCCACATTTTATGTTTTTTAACAGTTCATTTTATTTGTATATTTAGCATTGTTTAGATACAGGCAATGTATGATTTAAATAAAGAGAAAAACCCACACATTTTATTAGAATAAACTGTTGACACAGAGATATGTCTTGCCTGTCGACAGAAAAAGTCCCAAAAAAAGACAATCTGATGGACATCAACACTTCTTATTAATTCAAGATCACTAGCACCAGACCATGACCTAAAGGCTAAAATTATGTAGTGGGCAGGGCCTTGAAATGTTCACCAAACTGATATGCACTGGTCATTAAACAGAATATCATTGATTTTTCACAAGTAGTTCCTATCAAACTATTATATATGGATACACATGGGATAGTTGACCCTCCCATGGACAGAAACAGGTGCCCAGTGTCTTGACCAGTCTCCATGCAAGTGTGAGATTTCAATAATACATATTCAAGTTTAGTTTACCAAAACACTACCTTTGCTTTTACATAGCTGTGGAAAAAGAACAGTGTCAATCTCATGTAACTGGAGAATAAGGCGTCATCTCCAATTCTGTAAATCTTTTGGGGCAAAGGTGCAGACAATAATCTAAGTGCACCCCAAAACATCATTGTAATTGAAGATGATCCCATCATAAGGCAACAAGGAATTGTCCATCTTAACGAATGTATGTGAGACAGAAGTGTTATCATTGGTTTTCTGTAAGACCTTCAGTTTTTTAATTTTTAAAAAGCATGGACATTCATAACCGGAAGTTTTCGTTGGTAGTGTAAGATTTAAAACGATGGTGGAACTTTTCCGGATTGTGTTGCTTTAATAAAGGAAAATGACGATTGAAATGATAAAGACATTTTATTGGGAAATATATGTGTATATATGTCTCTGGGAAAATCCACAGGCGCTTAATTGGCTTCAGAATTTTGACATTTTTTCACGAATATTTATTTTTTTAATTGTATACCACATATTGACAGAACTTGGTCGTTTTCCACTCAAGTTACTATGATATTATAAAAAAATATTCTCTTACATTGAAACCGACATTTCCCTTGCTTCAAAATACTTATGAACAAACCAAAAAATAATATGTCCAAATGACATTATCTTGGTATGGATCACTTTAACGTATACTACCAAATTTTCCGACATATTACTGACAGGGATTGAGAGAAAGAAAAGTTCAAGAAGCAAACTAAAAAGCCACGGTAAAAGAAGGTTTTTGAAACTATGGGGAAATCTATAAAAAAAAACATTCAGAAGGAAACTTCGTACTTACACAACTTTTAAGGCAATTTTAGGATTTGAACGTTATTTATCTCTTGTCAGTAATTTCGAGAATAGGTGGAGTATAACGAAACTTAGAATTTCAGCCGTGACATCGTTTGCAAATAGAAACTGATAGATACCAGGGACCCTGGGTGTCCCTCTACACCTTAGACTTTGCGGGCAGTGTGGCTCATGTCAGGTAGAACCTGATTGGATACACTTTCTCCATCATTGCACCAAATTTAACGAGGAGGCGACAAAATTTGTTTAAAAATATATCTCAGTCGTGTAATAATTTTGCTAACTGGCATGGCATCCTCCAGAAAATTTCTTTTTGTTAATACCTGTGAGTTCTAGAAATTATAGAAGATTGGAAAAAAGCTCTTGATGAAAATAAATATATTGCGGCCATCCTAATGGATCTATCAAAAGCCTTTGACTGTTTGCCCCACGATTTACTTTTATTAAAATTACAGGCGTATGGCGTTTCTGATAGCTCGTTAAAGTTATTTAAAAGTTACCTGAAAAATAGAAGGCAACGTATAAAGATTGGCAATACTTACAATGACTGGGAAATACTGATAAAGGGGCCCCCAAGGGTCAATTCTTGGACCAATGTTGTTTAATATCTTCGTCAACGATATTTTCTACTGTGTTCAAGACAGTACGGTTTATAGCTATGCAGATGACAATACCATGTCTTACTGTGACAATAATGTAGATAATTTAGTTAAAACACTTGAAAATGATAGTTCAAAAATGATAAAATGGTTTTCACAAAATTTAATGAAAGCGAATCCAGACAAGTTCCAGGCCATTGCTATTGGGAAAAGGACAAACTATTATAATTTAACTTTTGATTTAGAAGGCAATACTGTTTCACGTGATGAAGATGTTAGACTCCTTGGTGTAACGATAGACTAAATTTTGATAAACATATCTCACAAATTTGCAAAAAACCTTCAAGACAAATTAACATTCTGAAACGTATTGGCAAATATTTAAACAGGTTGGGACGTCTAACAGCTCATTACTCTTTCATTCTTTCAAATTTTAATTATTGTCCGGTAATTTGGCATTTCTGTAGTGAAAAACAATACACAGAAAATTGAAAAAAATCAGGAAAGAGCTCTCCGCTTCATATATGAGGACGTCTATATAAGCAGCTATGAAAATTTACTTTTCTCTTCTAAACTTCCATCTTTAAAAATTCGCAGACTTAGAACCATTGTTGGAATTGAAACATTTAAAATTGTACACAAGAAAAGTCCAAGATATCTTCATGACACAATACATATCAAAACTCAACGTTATAATTTTAGATCCAAGGATACAGCTGATATACCGAGAGTAAACACTACAAGATATGGGCTAAAATCGTTCCGTTATAGTGCTCCACATATATGGAATGAGCTGCCAAACCACATCAGACAGGAAACTTCTTTAATTCAATTTTCCAATTTAATACAGACCTGGAATGACAGCTCATGCCAATGTAATGCATGCAATGAGTGCTTTATGATTTGAGCTTAGCTTGGTTTTTTATGCTTTTTATGCTAAATTAGTTTGCTTTGATTTTACAATTTATCTGCATGAACAGTATTATTTTGTTTTGCTTATGTGCTTGACTGCTTGCTGTCTTATGTTTTATTATATGTATGTTTGTCTTGATATGTATGTTTGTTTGCATGTCATTTTGTTTGTGTGTAATGTATTATAATGTCGATTTTAAAAGCTCGCAAGAGCTTGTGTTACTTTGTTTGCAATGTATCGACAATAAATAAAACTTTGATTTAATTTGATTTGATTTGAGGACACGTACATTAGTATTAAAACATTTGAGTAACTTCATTCACACTCATTGTAAATAGTTTAATATTGTTAAAATAACATTTCATTTTCTTTGCCTTTTTAACTGCTTGCTTGGCTGGTTTTGGCACGGGGATAATCATATTCAAATTGGATTCTTAAGCACCATCCCTGGTGTCTCCTCCAGTTAAGCAATCATATATATGATCCCTATTTTAATTTTATATATTTATGTATTACTTCTTAGTGGCTTTCATAGTTTAGACACGGGGAGATTCATATGCATATGATTCTAAAGCATTGTTCCATGGTGTCTCCTCCAGCTAAGCAATCAATTTACTGCCGAAAATGTACAAAAAAAAAATACTATGAAAAAACATCCTGCGGTGTTTTGATCGTTTGAATTGACCCTGAAGAAGAGATATTGACGCTAGTTTCTGTGACGAAAAGGGTAAAATACTAAAGGATAATGCCTGTCTACGAAACATGAAACTTTGCTCAGATCATACACAAGGAATCAGTTTGAGGTGTCTGATTCACTTGTTTAGCACCTTCAGGTGTTTCTAATAAACACCTTATTCCTCTTCAACGTGCAGTAAAATTAGATCCAGTATGTGAAGAGAAAATGAAAGGATATGGAGTAAATAAGATAAAAAGGTTTATTTTCAAATAGTTTTAACATTTGTTTGTTGTTGCAAAAAAAAGCAGAGCGTATGTTCAATAGTAGATATCATCCTAATTCATAATGCAGTTTGTAAAATAAATGATTTGTATTAGAATATTGTGCTAAAGATTTTAATATTTATGTTTCTAAAGATGTTTAAGATGATTTTTTAAAATATATTATATAACTGTTATTCATTGTCTCTTCATTCCAGTTAATACTATGTATAATCCCTGACAATTTTGTTACCAAATGGCTTTAAAATACAATATAAACAGGTGTAATTATTCTTTTCTAGATTTTGAAATTTAAGTTCCACACGGGAAACGTTAAAAAAAAAATTACGTATGACCACTTATGTCATACACCCTGTTGATAATTATATTTTGACATTGTACAAGGTAATGCTTTGTCTCAGACTGTTTAAGACGTCTTTACACAAGTCCGTTGGATGTGATATTTTAGTCTGGTGAAATATGGTTTATTTATACACAGTAACTGCAAGTACTTTTAGATCGGCATTTCCTGTGTTTTGTATTTTTGTATTATTATTATCTTATGTTGCTTCGTATCAATCTGATAAGACAAGAACTGAGAACTTTCATACTTGATTTTACGGTTTGTTCTTATGCAGTGCTGTCTCATCACTATCCCTTGTTATGGGGAGTGCGCAACATTTTGAATGTGTCTGTTCAAAGTCAGGAGCCTGTAATTCAGTGGTTGTCGTCGGTTGCTGCACAGGCACTTGTCTCTGAAAAAATTACCTACATACTTTAATGTTATCAATCTAATTAAAATTTATATATCTTATTCCGTTATACCCATAAGAGCTTGTACTAGCATGCGAGACGATATTGGTCTTGATTTTAATCAGATTATAATGTTATGTAAAGTATAATTTTTTTCAGAGACACGGTGCCTGTGGGTTGCTGTCTGCCATATTGAATTTTTCAAATATTGTTTTTAGCCTTAATCAGGCCGTTGGTTTTCTGTTTTAAATTGTGTCATATTTTATCATGTCCGGACCTTTTATGACATACGGTAAAGGTTTTTGCTCGTTATTCGATGTCGTACTGTGACATATATTTGTTAACATCATCTTCCTTTGGTCTCTTGTAGGTAGTTGTCTCATTGGCAATCCTACCACATCTCCTTACTAGTATTTTTATAAATATTATTGTTGTATATTTGATAGTAACCGAAGGCAATATAGACAAAAAGTGTGCTTGCGCCAGATGCAAATAAACAATATCCTGTCAAACAACAGAAATAACGCATCAGTTTTTGTATCATTTTTTTGTGTTAATAAAAGGCCATTCAATGTATACAACTGTCAATAATACATAAAAAGGGATAATGTGCAAAATACCACACAGCAAAACAGACCACAACCAGTTTATTTTTTCTGTTCCTCTCTATACTAGTATTTAAATTTACATGCAACTAATACTAAGGGGCTTTGCTGTACGTTAAATAGATAGCAGAAATTCTATGACGTATATTCATACACGGGGTTTTTATTTACATGTCACGGAAACGTAAAACGTTCTCTCTGAACTCTTTTCGATGTAAGTTATCGCCACAGTAACACCAGTGACGTTTGTCGTATTGTTGGCGATATCCTCAAATTTTAGAATGGACACAGCTTCTTCCTAGCAATGAAGTCGGGGAGCAAAATGAAAGGAAAAAAGAAGAAAGCACAGAAAAAAGAGAAAACAAAAACTGAAGAAAAGGGAAAGGGCGATCCTAATGATCTGTTGAAAAAGTTAGCCGTACAACACAACAGACAGTCATTGGTAGGGGATTTTGTTTCCTTATACATTTAAATCTATGCACTCATAACGCTATTATATTTTTTTCGCTATTGGCAAAATGCTTCAACATTTTACAAACCAGGAAATGATATTTCTAACCATGTCTTCACTTTGAAAAAATGTGAGTGATACATGTGCTGCAAATATCGTTATTCACAGTATAGGTTTCTAGTTTACTGTTCGTATTGTGTTTTTTCTCGTTTATCAGTCCCTTTTTTTACAGGGCAGATCAGGGTTTTCGAGTAAAATTACAATCAATCATATCGGTTTGATTTATAATACTCGTATTCCGCAAGTATATCAGTTTTATCCACGAGCGTCCAGCTTATTTTTGATAAAAGACCATTTTGAACACAAATTAGACGACGCATATTTTCCTTCTATCTTTATACTTAAATATTTGCTTTTTACATCGCCCGGGGTTTTGAAAAACTGGTCCGAGTTTTATGAGGCGCTGATTCAGTAAAAAAATATTGTATATAAAAAGCTCCATAATTATGTTTGAGGATATCCATAAGTCTATTTGGAAATAAATCCACCAAACTCAATCATAATGTTGTGGATAAAAGAAAATAAAAAATCTTGATAGTATCTGTTCAGTGTACTTTGTATTTGGGTAAGTGTAGTTTTTAATAAAATGGGAGACTAAGGGAAGACAAATGATGTTTTTACCATTCTCATTGTAGAAACATTTTAATGAACAGATGTTGACGATCGAAGCACAGTAGCGTAGAGTATAAAAAAGTCGAACATCAGCTTTGCATTGAACAAAATAGAAGTATGCATTTACTTGATTTTGTTAATATGTCTTTTGGATTGAGTTAAGCCATTTCAATTGATATTTTATAGTGTGTCTTTCTATATATGTTGTAATGTTACACTACTATTTCAGGCTAGGATGAAGGTTGGCGCTTGTTAAAACGTTTAAACCCGCTGCATTTGATTGCACCTGTCCTAAGTCAGGAACCTGTTTCAGTGGTTGTCGTTGTTGATGTGGTTCTTAAGCGTTTCTCGTTTCGCGTTTTTTATATAGATTAGACCGTTGGTTTTCCTGTTTGAATTGTTTTACACTAGTCATTTTGGGGCCCTTTATTTTTATAGCTTGCTGTTCAGTGTGAGCCAAGTCTCAGTGTTGAAGGCCGTATTTTGACTATAATTGTTTACCTTTTTCACATTGTGACTTGGATGGAGAGTTGTCTCATTGACACTCAAACCACATCTTCTAATTTCTATGTAAAACCCAATAGAAATATTTTGTTTTTAAAATCATGAAACTGCTTGAAAGATATAGTCATGTGAATTGTTGAAAGGTATAGTCACGTGAATGGTTGAAAGGTATAGTTACGTGAATGGTTGAAAGGTTAGTCACGCGAATGGTTGAAAGGTATAGTCACGTGAATGGCTGAAAGGTATAGTCACGTGAATGGTTGAAAGGTATAGTCATGTGAATGGTTGAAAGATATAGTCATGTGAATTGTTGAAAGGTATAGTCACGTGAATGGTTGAAAGGTATAGTCATGTGAATGGTTGAAAGATATAATCACGTGAATGGTTGAAAGGTATAGTCACGTGAATGGTTGAAAAATATAGTCGCCTGAATGGTTGAAAGGCAAGTATAGTCACGTGAATGGTTGAAAGGTAAAGTCACGTGAATGGTTGAATGGTTGAAAGGCCAGTATAGTCACGTGAATGGTTGAAAGGTAAAGTCACGTGAATGGTTGAAAGATATAGTCACGTGAATGGTTGAAAGGCCAGTATAGTCACGTGAATGGTTGAAAGGTATAGTCACGTGAATGGTTGAAAGGTATATAGTCATGTGAATGGTTAAAAGGTATATAGTCACGCGAATGGTTGAAAGGTATAGTCACGTGAATGGTTGAAATGTATAGTCACGTGAATGGTTGAAAGGTATATAGTCACGTGAATAGTTGAAAGGTAAAGTCACGTGAATGATTGAAAGGTATAGTCACGTGAATGTTTGAAAGGTATAGTCACGTGAATGGTTGAAAGGTATAGTCACATGAATGATTGAAAGGTATAGTCACGTGAATGGTTGAAAGGTTAGTCAAGTGAATGGTTGAAAGGTATAGTCACGTGAATAGCTGAAAGGTATAGTCACGTGAATGGTTGAAAGGTATAGTCATGTGAATGGTTGAAAGATATAGTCATGTGAATGGTTGAAAGGTATAGTCACATTAATGGTTGAAAGATATAGTCGGGTGAATGGTTGAAAGGTATAGCCATTTGAATGATTGAAAAATATAATCACGTGAATGGTTGAAAGGTATAGTCACGTGAATGGTTGAAAAATATAGTCGCCTAAATGGTTGAAAGGTATAGTCACATGAATGATTGAAAGGTTAAGTCACGTGAATGGTTGAAAGATATAGTCACGTGAATGGTTGAAAGGCCAGTATAGTCACGTGAATGGTTGAAAGGTATAGTCATGTGAATGGTTGAAAGGTATAGTCATGTGAATGGTTGAACGGTATAGTCACGTGAATGGTTGAAAGGCCAGTATAGTCACGTGAATAGTTGAAAGGTATAGTCACGTGAATGGTTGAAAGGTATAGTCAGGTGAATGGTTGAAAGGTATAGTCACGTGAATGGCTGAAAGGTATAGTCATGTGAATGGTTGAACGGTATATAGTCACGTGAATGGTTGAAAGGTATATAGTCACGTGAATGGTTGAACGGTATATAGTCATGTGAATGGTTGAACGGTATATAGTCACGTGAATGGTTGAAAGGTATAGTCACGTGAATGGTTGAAAGGTATATAGTCACGTGAATGGTTGAAAGGTAAAGTCACGTGAATGGTTGAAAGGTATAGTCACGTGAATGGTTGAAAGGTATAGTCACGTGAATGGTTGAAAGGTATAGTCACGTGAATGATTGAAAGGTATAGTCACGTGAATGATTGAAAGGTATAGTCACGTGAATGGTTGAAAGGTATAGTCACGTGAATGGTTGAAAGGTATAGTCACATGAATGGTTGAAAGGTATAGTCACATGAATGATTGAAAGGTAAAGTCACGTGAATGGTTGAAAGATATAGTCACGTGAATGGTTGAAAGGCCAGTATAGTCACGAGAATGGTTGAAAGGTATAGTCACGTGAATGGTTGAAAGGTATAGTCACACTAATGGTTGAAAGGTATAGTCACGTGAATGGTTGAAAGGTTAGCCACGTGAATGGTTGAAAGGTATGGTCACGTGAATAGCTGAAAGGTATAGTCACGTGAATGGTTGAAAGGTATATAGTCATGTGAATGGTTGAAAGATATAGTCACGTGAATGATTGAAAGGTAATGTGCAGAAACTTATTTATTATTTTACAGCAAATAGAAGCTGACCAAGTAGCACATTTAGCACCAGCAGATAATGAAGGTAAAAACTATTCTTCTTAAAACAATATGATATGGATGAGTATCAGTCAGATAGCAACCAAACAACACATGACAATCTCAAGTCATGATCAATATTCGGATGTATAAGAATAGGAAGATGTGGTATGATTGCCAATAAGATCGCATATACATGGTATTAGTGGATAAATACCCTTAAATGTGTATTATAAAATAAAACTTATTGGTCAGACGTGTTTGTTTCGTGTACATTGTTTATTTAATAGAATTGAGAACGGAATATATTATGTCCATTATAAACAGATCTTTTCGAGTAATTATTTTGTGTGAAGTTACTGTCTCATTGCATAACGTATAACGTGGCCCTCGGGCCTACTCATACTACTATTACACTCGTAAAATAGTTCCAACAAATGTATACTTAAACAAAAGAGAAAGGTAAAACGTGTCATTGTTTTTTTTTACGTAGAATGGCCTTACTATACCATGTTTTGGCAATATTGCATGAGTCATCACAGGGTTAATTTGAATGCATGCTTAATTTGAAATAAGATCATATAATGTATTACATGGAATTCAAAAGAGTCGAAAGCGAGAGAAATTATCAAAAGGTAATTTATCGGACTAACTGGTGGACTTACATCTAACGTATAAATGAATATTTTTGAACGTTCTTGTATTTTTTAGTTATCTTATACTATTTTTTCTAATTGTTAATTTGATACTATACATGTTTCTTCCGTCAGTTAACTTGATATTATCATTATTGTGAAATTTTTCGTCAGTGAATTACATTGATACTTTGTATTTTAAAGGAGTTCCCCATGCCAGCAGTCGAATGTCTAGTGCCGGTGTTAGTACCAATGGAGATACAGAACTACCAGAATGGTTTGAAGATATAACCACAGATAATGAGGATGCATTTAAAGAGGTAAGACTTATGAGTATAAATATAACAATAACTCGACCACTGTTGGTAAAATTAATGTATCCTGTTTAAACAAATACATTAAAATAACATGTAGTTTTTGGAATAAAATGACTATATTCACAGTCGTTGTCAATTTGATTGTATGTATATGATTTAGAACAACGAAGAAGAACAAATTTCTTCCTTTTCTTTTCAGTTGTTTGATATGTTGGATTCAGCGAAGACGGGCACACTGAATGTCGACGGTCTGTATGAAGGTCTAAAGAGAGTAGATAGTGGAATTACTAGAGAAGAGGTTGAAGCTGTCATGAACAAACTGGATAAAGATGGAAATGGAGAAATTGATTTTGATGAGTTTCTTATTCACATGACACAAGGAGATACAGCAGGAGAGGGTGACCAGGGTAAATATAATTCGACATGACACAAGGAGATACAGCAGGGGAGGGTGACCAGGGACAAGGAGGTATAATACTTCCACAAAACAGGGTAGGGGTAGGTTAAATATAATTCCTCACTCACATGACACAAGTAGATAAATCAGGGGAGAGGCCAGTGGAAATATAATGCCACAAATTACAATTAAATATAAGGACGTGGACCATATTTGTCCTTATCCAGCTGACACTATGAGATATGGCAGGGCGTATAGAGGGGGATTGGGAACAGGTAAGTTAGTTTAAGCCCTTGTTCACATGATATAAAGAGATATAGCAGGGGTGAGGACCAGGGTAATTATATTTTTTCTGTCACAATACACAAGACAGAGATGAAACAGGTTAAGTAAATATTTGCATTCACTTGACACAAGGAGATGTAACAGGGGACAGGGATCATGGATAAATCTAGTTCCGTATCCACAATACACAATAAACTAACCAGGGAGTCTGTAAGGAAGGATTTTAAGGTAAAGCTTAACAAAGGTATAACCTGAATGTCGATTAAATCATCCTATCCAGTGGCGGATCCAAAGGGGGGGGGGGGGGGGGGGGGGGCCGGGGGTTGGAACCCCCTTTTCTTCCCGATCAATGCTTTTGAATGGGGACATATGGTTGGACCCCCGCCCCCTTTTATCCTGGGTTGGGAATCCCCCCTTTTAAAAATGGCTGGATCCGCCCCTGCTAAAAAAAAAAGAAATACAATGCGTGAAACTGATTGGCTGTTTAGTTTGAAAAATCAGAGAAATAATTTATAAAAATGCACGATTTTACTGCATGCAGTTTTTATAAAAGATGTAAAAAACTGACATGGGTTCTTAATGTAACTGATCTTTAAATGAGGGTCATATTCTTTTGTTAAAGATATCATTTCCAAAAGATTACATCACCACAACATGCAAAATAGGAGGCAACCCACAAGATGTTTCATTTTCAGGTGCTAAATTATAAACTGGAGGTTGCTTCCTGGCTAAAGACGAAATATTAATGTGAACACATGAGCTTTTGGTTTGAAGAAATTTAATGGGTTTTATTTTTATTTTATAACAAGTTGGAAAATAGTTCAAAACCCAAACGTACATTCGTATTTATCAATCCTGATCTAGATAATATCAATATATTAAGATAATATGACCAATCATAAAAGTGTTACCTCTGCAGAAGGATCACGGAAGGGATTTTCAAGACGACAGAGATTATTCTACACAGCCATTACACAATTCTCCATGAAGACCACTCTAGAGTTGGAGAAAAAGAAACATCAACCTCATGTGATAGGTCATTACACAGCTGGAGCCCGTCTCGAGGGATTAACTGATAGACAGCTAGCCAGACAGATGAAGAGACTCCAGAGAACAGCTGTACACCATGATTCACCATATGCCAAACCCCTTCCTTTTGTTTCTCAGATGAACTGTAGTGTTGTGCCGGTAAGAAGGAGTGCATTCTCCAATATAGCGGTCTTCTTATCTTTATGTGTAAAATTTCTATTACTAGGAAATATGGGAATGTCCTAGAAAAAGCGGGGTTTAGTTTGTATTTCATACATAAAAAATAAGTCGATTTGGTATGATTGTCAGAGACAGGATAAGGATGTGAACTACAAATCAATCCAGTTTGAGCTCTGTGTTGCTCCAAAACTTAATCATGGAATCGTGGGTAGAAATAGTATGGTTTCAACCGATAAGACTTAGTGTGAACATTTCTGATTAGTTTTATAAAAGATATCCAGTGTGCAGTGTTAACATTAACATTATAACACTGAAAAATGTTACTACTTTTTATGAACAAATGTCATTTGGTCTCTGGTGAATATAGCTCTCTCATTGGCAATCATACCACTTCTCCTTATTTTATAATGATCGTTTTATTGTACAGGTTGATATAGCCCCATGGATTAAAATTCATGATGTTTTTTTTTATCTCAGAATGCTAGAGAAAATATTTGGCTGCATGTTTTACCAATTACAGAAGTTATCAGAAGCTGCACTGAGCACAGCTGAACGTATCGGGACATTATGATCTCCCTCACTAAATCGATTGCATACACATCCTATCCATGGGCTTCTAGTAATGTCTAGGCAAATAAATTCCGTAGATGTTCTAAGCATCGTATCGTGTCTTCAGGTACGGTTTACTACGTCTGTTTTAGTGGCGGATCCAGAAATTTTCATAAGGGGGGACCCGTTCAGTCATGCTTCAGTGATTCCCTAAATAATCAACCAACTTTCCCCACAAAAGGGGGGCCCGCGGGCACCCTGCCCCCCCCCCCCCCCCCACCCAATCCTAAATCCGCCTCTGTTTGAAATATTCTATGAAGTACAGCAACTGATATTAAAGTGAAAAAGACAGCATGATTTCCTGTCAGCAGGTCAGTACTTTCAGATAGCTTTCAGTAACTGCGAGCATTCCTCGATACGATATAATATTGTTTATCCCATCTGAGAAATCTAGATTAATCCCACCACATATTCATGTGCGTGTTAGTCTGTAGTCAAGGCTGTTTTATGTCTTTTCGAGAATTCGGCCCTCTAGTGGTCTTCTGGTGATTTTTGTGGTAGGGTTGCTGTATACCCCACATGTCTTTATATTTTTGAGGGGTCAGGTAGGGGTCTGTTCCAAGGGCATAATTTCTGTCCACTATCCAACATACCAACCCAATTTTGCATTCGAAATTCTGGCCTTTCATTCCGCTCGATCCATTTTACAGAACGTACCATTTGCATTAATCAATTTATTCTCGTCCTGAATATGCATGAAATACTTGCCACTTAACGTTAAGCAAATAACAATAAATAAATTATTTGATTCATCTTTATGAATTTTGCTAAAGATGAATGAAAATTACAACTTAAAGAACTTGTCTCATCTTTCAAATGATTGACAAGTAATTTGAATTCATATGCATATTTAAATCTTAGCTGACAAAATAACGCCCTTTTTTTATTCTCTTTTACAGACCAGTAGGTACAAGTTGGCAACAGAACGCACTGAAATGGGCCCCAAGGAAAACACGACACTAATTGAAATACCAGAGGATGGACCAATTGAACCAATTGCACCATTACCATGGAAGGTAACAATAAAAATAGTTGCCATTGAGACTACTCAGTCAAAAAGATCCTGAAACAGTTTAAGCATTCCCAGGATTATTTAAGAGACATAGAAACTCAATCGTAATGTTGATAAGATAATGCAAACCTTATATTGTGGATCCAAATAATTTAATTTATTTACAGCTAGATGTGAAGCATCTTCCTATTGAATAGTTATATCTGCTACACATCTCACTGTCAGTGATATTTGTTGCAGGCAAGACAATTTGTTTTACAATTATCTCATATGTTTTTGTTGAAAAATGTGTCATCATCGTGTCATTTAAAGTCCTTAGAACTAATGAGGTTCTACATTATTTCAGGCACAATGGAAAATGTTTACCTCAAGAGATAGTGTTGTGGGTAAAACAAACGATGATCTTTTGAATAATCTAAGGTCAAGATTAAGTAAGTTTTTATTTCTTTGAATAATTAACTTATATATCTGAAAGTGCAAAACTTATTATGTTTCAATATCGGCATTCTTTAAATATGATTCTCTGCATTAATACCACCTACAAATATTGGCAGTTCACTTTACTATAAAATGATGTTTGGTCTTAGCATTTGATTTTTATTAATAATACTATTAAAGAAATTATCACTAGATTTTGGATTGACTGCTTATGTATGGACTCTACTGGAGAAATTATGCTCAACACCATTAGAACAATAACAGTAAGCTATAACAATAAGTAAACTGTATTATATTAATTCCCATGTCATTAGGAAATTTTGTGGTTGTTAGAAAAACAAAGGATATGGGGTATCCATCCATGACAAAAAATCAGTACATGCAAAGCTTAATACACAAAAAACAAAAGAACAGCGCATTTATTGGTGTTCTTCATCTCAAAGTCACAGTAAGGCATTCAACTCTGAGCAAAAAAACTATGAATACTTAGTAAAGCAAATATTGTAGAGGCATCTAGATGTTTCTGGGTACTTTACATCATAATTGTCTTCTATATTCAGATATAACCATGAAGATTAAAGGATCTATTAAAAAGAAGAAAACTATAGGTATGTTTAAATTTGGCACATACATGTATTTTATTGTCCCAAGCCTCACAGCAATGGAAGTACATATATAGATTGATTGACTGATTAATTGGTGTTCAACAACAGTTTAAGCACTATTGCGCTATTTCACGGCGGTCAGTATTTATTGGTGGAGGAAGCCAAAGTGCACCTGCCAACTGAGAGATTCAAACTCACAAACTCAGTCTTGACAGATCAGAATAGTGGTACAGTAGTTCAACTACTTAGACCAGTCGTCCACCGAGGCCCCTGAGGGACATATAATAGTAGTCTTCAACCATCCAATACACTTTGTGAATGCTACTCCTCTGAAAGCATTCTTACTTTCATATTTTTTGGCATATTGTAGCATAATGATACTTGTGAAGGTTTTTCCTTTATGACCATAAGCCTGATAGTTTTCACACCTGGTTGGATTGTTCTTTATCAGTTGAAGTTAACCATACTGTATCCCAAACTAATTAGACAATTTTAGTTGATTTTGTGGATCTTACTGTGGATTCATTTTATTTCATGTGTAACAATTTTTGTTGATTGCAGAAAGATATATTTATGTGGATATTTCGTTGTGTGGATTTGCTAAAGACAGTATACAAGTATATAGAAAAATTTTAGTTTATTAAATATGTTTACCGTTACCCGCCAAATCCATGTTAATTGGAACCTCGTGAGTTGTAATGAATCAACAGTCGGACCTTTTTTCTTATATGTAGCTTAATGACACTTTTAGACCTAATGTTAAATTAAGGCAATGATTGCATTCAAACACCTCATAATGATTTTGATGCGAGGACTTGCTTTTATGAGTATGGAGAGGATTGATCTGAAAGTGAATATAATGTCATTATTGTTTCATCCAAATTGTAATGTCTGCAATTGTTCTGCAGTCTACTATAGTTTTGAGACTGTTAAACGACTTTTATTAAACAGTTTCAATAGAGCTGGAGATATTTTCACAAACTAGTGGTAATCCTGTCCTTAAGTTGCTTTTTCTCATTTTCTTATCTCTAACTAAAAAAAGTTGACTTTTCTGAAGATAGGGACAATTTTAAGCTATTTCGTTTAGTTGAATTTTTTCTTTTATCAGCTAATGTCTCCATATATTGCCAGATTTATTAAAATATACATATATATATTTGGTTCAAGCAAAGGCAGCCATCCCCCAAATAGGAAAGTGCCGAGTTCCCTTGCCAGTTCTTAGAGTGAAGTATATCAGACACAGACCGTCACCAACCATTGATGATTTGCCAAATATTAGAGAAAAGGTAAAACTAAATATTACATTGGATGCAATGAAATACCATGATTTCACAATATTTTAAAAACCAATATTTCAAGTTCTTTGCCTTTTATACTTTATTAATACTATAAGTCAATACAAATAAAGAATAAATTATACAAGATTTCAAATATTATTAGTTACACAGTGTGCTAGTGACCTAATACGATACATATGGGTTCAGTAAATTCCATATGGGGTTCGCTCTCACCCCATATGGGATTTACTGACCCCATATGTATCATATTAGGTCACTAGCACACTGTGCAACAAATTTATCTTACCAACTATCTTAACATCTGGCATTAAGATTAGTGGCCTATGAAAGTGATCAAGTCTTCAATATGAAGAACCTGCTTCCATTGGTCTATACAAAAACAAATGCCAACAATAACAACTTGTTAGCTTTTTACGTGTTTTCTGCATTTATTTCAATCCTTCATCATCAATTTCTTCGTCTGTTGTCTGGGCTAAATGTTTCAGATTGTTCCTCAATGCCGTGTTGTTTATATAAAGGGATGTAACACCACCACTAACCGTGTATTAAAATAAACCAGGCCTACTAACCACATATTAAATATACATGGTCTCCACACGGTCGCTTTTAACCAATGATATTCCTAGAAATGTATAGGTGATAAAATCAAAAATATTCAACTTGTGACCTTGCAACAGTGATATTTAACTCATGACCAACACTCATTTGTGAATTATTGTGTTGTTCAGAATTCTTGGATTAGTAATTCTATAATTAACATTCGCAGACCTGTCAACCTTCATGCTTTCTGGGGGATTTCCCCCATGAGAGGTGTTGACCTGAATTTTGAAATTCGTTATTATACAAATTTAACACCTGAAAACAGGCATTCAAATGAGTTAAAAGGGGATTTAAGCACATGCATACTCATTCAAACAATATAGTAGTAGATCAGAAAGTCTTATGACAATATAAGAGAAGCATTTAGTCATCTCGCTCTTGAAATCCCCCATGGAGATTTTGAAAACTTGGCAGGTATGCATTCGGACGACAGATTTTATTTATATCATCTATTATGGTGTAATGGTCTTGTAAATGACAACCACTTACAGAACATTGATACAAAATTGTTTTTTTTTTCATTTTTTACAAGAAAGGATGTGTAAAAATATCTTGCCTGTTTAATTGATGACAACTGAATAATTTGATGAAAGTCTTTGAAATCAATGCAAAATTAGATGCATCAAACTTACTTTACAAAATAGCATCATAGATTGTAGATATTTGAAAATTAATGAATGATGAAACTGATGTCAAGATCAGTTACCCCTGGTAGATAGAGATTAACATATTACAATGATTCTGTAGAAAAATAAATGGGGAATGTGTCCATGGGACACAGATGATGCCCCCGCTTTCATATCATATAAAGTTATAAAGGGACATAACTGAAGAACGGTAAAAGTGAAGCTACCCAAATTTGTACTTAATCTGAGTTATGAGGTAATAAGTATTGTGTATAAGTTTCATAAAATTTGGTTGAGGCTAACTTAAGTTAAAGAACGGAAATGAAAAATTCAGCAATTTTTCTATTTGTAATGGGGCATAACTCTAGAACAATAAAAGTGACATCCCTAAAGTTCAAACTTGATCTGTATTTTGTGGTAATAAGCATTGTGTATAAGTTTCATAACATTTGGTTGAGGCTCACTTAAGTTAGAGAACGGAAACGGAAAATTCAGCAATTTTTCCATTTGTAAAGGGGCATAACTCTAGAATGGTTAAAGTGACACCCCCAATATTCAAACTGGATCTGTGTTTTGTGGTAATAAGCATTGTGTATAAGTTTCATAACATTTGGTTGAGGCAAACTAGATTTAGAGAACGGAAACGAAAAATTCAGCAATTTTTCCATTTGTATAGGGGCATAACTCTAGAACGGTTGAGATTACGCCACCAAAATTCAAACTTGATCTGTGTTTTGTGGTAATAAGCATTGTGTATAAGTTTCATAACATTTGGTTGAGGCAAACTAAAGTTAGAGAAGGGAAACCAACTTTTGGACGTACGGACAGACAAGGGTAAAACTTAATGCCCCTATGCTACGGTGGGGGAATAAAAAGTTAACTATTTACTATTGAAGATTTTTAACTGAGAAATTAAGCTCCAAACTTAGACATTGATGTATGAACCATAAAAATGGGACAAGATCAGGTGAACATTACCACAAAGATGTCTAATTTTGTTTGTTTTTATTTTTTTATCATTCTTTTTAGCTTAATACATTTTTCTTCTTTCAGGCAACAAATGCACTGGATGATTACTATCATAAGCTACGAAAAGTAAGTGTCAAAAATTCTTATGAACACTGGGATAACTTATATGCTGATACTATTCGTCCCAAGAAACTTTTGGAAAACTTCAGAACTGTTTACAGGGCATATTCACCACATAAAGAAGAAGAAGCTTTCGTTGTTACACCTTGGATACCTGGACCTTACAGACTTTTCAGGAGAAAAGTGGATTCACGTATCAGACCATTCAGTGCCCATTAAATCTTTTAGTAAACATATGCTACCAGCACTGATTAAAATCTATTTTAACGTTTGGTGTTATTTTGTTCTTTTCAATACTCTGAAACATGCAGCTTTAAAAGATTTGCTAGATAAGGTGAACAAATAATTTCCGAAAATTTAAGTTTTAAAATTGGTATACCAACAGCTCACAAACACAACAAATCATTTATCATAACAAAGTCTTTAATATTTGAAAAGATTTTTTTATGATCCTGAATGGTCATTCTTTCAGACATCATTTATTTATGTAATCCTATTTAGTGAACTTTACTTGCCTGATACAAAACCTTAACTGATATCAAAACTTTTAGAAAAATAAACATGTGTCTTTGATGTTGTTTTTTTTGTCTTTTTTCCCTCTCCCAACCAAATTGTGGAAGGATTATATTAATGCTTTGGTGTGTATGTTATGTCTAAACATCTTGTACACCAAAAAAAGGTAAAATGTTCAGCTGTGATGATGACATGAAGTATATTCCACAAAAAAATATAACAGAACAAGCTTAAAGGGTATTTTGATACAATTTCAGTTTCATATCCATCTGATTAAGAAACTCTACTTTGAAGTGTGTTTGTTCTCATATAAAAGGACTGAAATACAACAGGTAAAAAGAATTTATTAAGAAATAAAGATATAAAAAAATATACATAAAATTGTCATTTAGTATCACAGACAAAGCAAGGCTACAATAATGTCAATATGTATTAAAATTCATATCATTTCATAGCTGATATACAGGAATTTATAGGTGATCATAATATTTTCAGAAAAAAAACCTTTTATCTAACATTGACCAGCAATGCATTTAGATAAATTCAGATAATCTAGTATATGGTGCTTTTGTTTTTCCAAAATTGAGATTCTGAATTCAATTCATTATTGCTAAACAAGAGTTAAGAATTTATCTGCAAATTGATCATGTGAACTGAAACAAGAAACTCAGGATTTTCATTCAAAAGACTCATCACTAAATTCTCAAATCCAACCAACTGTATCTATTGCTTGTTCACATTATTGTTGCTGATTAGCTTAGACAGGAGTGTCCTTAATATCAAAGATAAATTTAAGATAAATTCTAGTCATATTCTGACCTACTGCAATCAACTCATGACACTGTATTCAAATTACATTCCAAATTTACTGAAATACTTTCATCCTGATCAGCAATTATATGGTTTGTAATTGAACTGATGGCTAAGGCTCAATGTTAGTGCAAGTTTTATGTTATTTATCATTTATTCTTTAAAAATATCTGAATTACTTTTATTAAAACTAGAGGCTCTAAAAAGCCTGTGTTGCTCACCTTGGTCTATGTGCATATTCAACAAAGGACACTCTCCAACATTGTAGACGGAATAGAATTCATGACAAAAATCTCTGTTTTGTTGATCTTGTATTGCTGATCATTTAGTCTGTTTAGTTTCTATCTTCTTTAGTTTTTGCTCAACACACAAAACAGGGTAAAAAAAATCCTCATTCAAGGGCAAACGCTCCTGTAAAGAGTGACAGTCTACTAACTATATCCGCAAAATTTGACTTGTTAGTAGATCTTGCCCTGCTGATCATTTTTTGTGATTTAAAGTTTCTATCTTATCATTATTTTTAAGATATAAGGCAAAAACGCAAAAAATTGGTAAAAATCGTCATCAAAGTCAATAACTCTAATAAGGAGTCGACTGACGATTTCGACCATGAGACTTATTTGTAGAACTTATCTTGCTGATCATTTTTGCAATTTAAAGTCACTCTCTATCTATTATAGTTTTCAAGATAATAGACAAAAAAAAATTGTCATTTAAGGGCAATAACTCCTGTAAGAAGTCGTCTGACAGTTTTGACGTATATGAAGATTTGGTAGAGCTCAACATTCTAAAAATTTCTGCCCTCTGTCAGATTTTCTCTATTTATAACGGTTTTCAAAATAATAGACAAAACTTGCATTTTACCCCCTATGTTCTATATTTAGCCATGTCGGCCATCTTGGTTGGCAGGCGGGTTCATCGGACACATTTTTTAAAACTAGATACCCCAATGATGATTGTGGCCAAGTTTGGATAAATTTGGCGCAGTTGTTTCAGAGGAGAAGATTTTTTGTAAAAGTTAACGACGACGGACGCCAAGTAATGAGAAAAGCTCACTTGGCCCTATGGGCCAGGTGAGCTAAAAAATGGAAGACAACAAAAACAAAAATTTATCTGCTTTAAATGTTAAAGGCATGTTTAATTTAAAATTCAAGATTCTTAATAATTTGTTACTCCAACTCAAATTAAATATCTATGAACATTTTAAGGCTTTAATTTTTACTTTTGAAGATATCAAATAATTTTCACTTGATGTTTGTTATGCTGAAATAGGTTACAGATCACAATGGTTAGAGGAATAGTCAAATGAGTTTACATCTGTCAATTTGCAAATTAAGTTTATTGCATACAACATATTCTTGATAAAAAACTAAATCTAATATCAAATGGCAAGTATAAATTGGCAGTGTATCTTTAATCATTGGTTCCCCAGTTGTATTCTAGATAGCTGACTTTGTAACTTTTACCAGCAACAAGTTCTTCCAGCTGTTTTTTCTTATCACTCTCTGCAATATGAGCTATGATCCATTGTACAACCTAAAATATGAATATGAGTAATAACTTGAAACTGATATTCTACCTTTAACATTACTTAATCAAGTAGCTTTGTCCTTATCATTTGAAAAAAATAAAATACAATAAGCCTTTAAATCTTTTTCAGTTCTTATTTCACCAAAATAATTTTCACCATTCAAAGGCCAAGACAGACATATTGGACTGTCACTGACATGAACAATTGTTAAGCCTTAAGTTTATCTGGTCACTACAAAACTATCAATGAATATATGTGATCTAAAATTCTGTTCAAACTCCAACTGTCATCAATGTATTATTTAATTATCAATCTGTTACCTCTTCTTTATTTTTGCCAAAATCCTCTTGGTACCAGTCTAATATTTTTGATAATTTTATCTGCTTCTTTTTCATGTCAATAAAAACACCATCATCTCCCTCCAGAAAAGCTTCTGCTGCTGATTTTAACTCCTCATATATACCCTGGAAGGATAATAGTAACGTGCACAAAAATGTATAAGTCACAAATATGCTGTTATATAATAAAAGTTCAATGGGAAGTATTGTATTGTAATTTATGCTAATTTTGCTAAGCATTTTTGACATTTACAGTTTCTCTCTATCTATGATGGTTTCTGCATTAATCTATAAAGATCATCTTTCAAGGGCAATAACTCCTATAAGAGGTCAATTAACGATTTTGCCCATGTTGACTTATTTGTTGATCTTATTTTGCTTTTCACAGTTTCTCAAATACAGTTTATGCAAAAATGGATGAAAAACGTCTTTCAAGAACAATTACTTCCAGAAGGAGCATATTGATGATTTCAGTTATGTTTACTTAATTGCAGATTTAATTTTGCTGAACAGTTCACTACTGAAATATTTTATCCATCTTCTATAGTAACGTATACAGGGTTATTTTTCGCGGGGTGTTCATTTTCGCTTATTTTCACGGATAAATGAAAATTGTGGAAATAAATTCTGTGAAATATATGCATACGTTCTTACTTTCCAATTGCTAAAGCATTTTGTGGAAGATCTGGGTTTTTTTTTTAGGTCGACAGGTCAATAACGGTATATGTTAGTTTTAAAACATAAATGCCAAATGTTATTGAACATACATAAGTATACCCTTATTAACTAGTGTCAAATAATATAAGATTTTAAGGTACTATGTCAGGTATTTTATCCTTATTAATTAGTGTCAAATTGTATAAGAGTGTAAGGTACTATGTCAGGAATTTTACCCTTATTAATTAGTGTCAAATTATATAAGAGTGTAAGGTACTATGTCAGGTATTTTACCCTTATTAATTAGTGTCAAATTGTATAAGAGTGTAAGGTACTATGTCAGGAATTTTACCCTTATTAATTAGTGTCAAATTATATAAGAGTGTAAGGTACTATGTCAGGTATTTTACCCTTATCAATTAGTGTCATATTGTATAAGAGTGTAAGGTACTATGTCAGGAATTTTACCCTTATTAATTAGTGTCAAATTATATAAGAGTGTGAGGTACTATGTCAGGTATTTTACCCTTTTTAATTAGTGTCAAATTGTATAAGAGTGTAAGGTACTATGTCAGGAAATTTACCCTTATTAATTAGTGTCAAATTATATAAGAGTGTAAGGTACTATGTCAGGTATTTTACCCTTATTAATTAGTGTCAAATTGTATAAGAGTTTAATGTGCTATGTCAGGTATTTTACCCGTATTAATTAGTCTCAAATTATATAAGAGTGTAAGGTACTATGTCAGGTATTTTACCCTTATTAATTAGTGTCAAATTGTATAAGAGTTTAATGTGCTATGTCAGGTATTTTACCCTTATTAATTAGTCTCAAATTATATAAGTGTGTAAGGTACTTATCAGGTATTTTACCTTTATTAATTAGTGTCAAATAATATAAGAGTGTAAGGTACTATTTCATGTATTTTACCCTTATTAATGAGTGTCAAATAATATAAGAGTTTAAGGTACTATGTCAGGTATTTTACCCTTATTAATTAGTGTCAAATTGTATAGAGTTTGTAAGTCACACTGATAATTTTATAACCTAATTAGTACATCAAAGGTCCCGTCAATTTCTTAACTTATCAACCATAACATTTACAAGAAGTTTGTACACCTGTGACAAATATCTATGTTACCGGTATCTATTGATTAACTGTATCGGAATATAAACAATAAATAAGACATCATTCATGTAAACCATAACAACAGACACTTGTTTGATTGACTGATAATAACGATACTCTATCCCAATTCTAATATCTTGAAGACAAACTTCTGCTAGCAAAGAAGTAATGAGACAAGTAAATCTGAGATGTTTTTGTAAATATTTGACATTTCAAAAGTTGTGTTTTACCTCCAATATTGTTTTTCGTTATCATATGTATTTATTTTTACATTGTTCTATTAAAATAATTATTTCTTTTAATTTCTTGTATTTATACAGAACTACAGTAAAGACATGTCTTGTATTTATACAGAACTACAGCAAAGACATGTCTTGTATTTATACAGAACTACAGCAAAGGCATGTCTTGTATTTATACAGAACTACAGCAAAGGCATGTCTTGTATTTATACAGAACTACAGCAAAGGCATGTCTTGTATTTATACAGAACTACAGAAAAGACATGTCTTGTATTTATACAGAACTACAGCAAAGGCATGTCTTGTATTTATACAGAACTACAGCAAAGACATGTCTTGTATTTATACAGAACTACAGCAAAGACATGTCTTGTATTTATACAGAACTACAGCAAAGACATTTTTCACTGTTTTCTTGCTGTCAATTTTTACAACTTTTAACTGCAACTATTTCAGTATCCGCCAAAATATTTAATTGGGGATAAGTATCCACCAAAATAAAAACAGCAAAAAATTTTTGTATACTTTGTTGCCTCCTAATTGTGAAATTTTATGACCGTGAAAAGAAATCGCTGTATGGTATTTGCAAAAATGCAAAAAAGTGTATAATTCAAAGGCAATAACTCTTATAAGGGGTCAATTGACAATTTACACATGTTCACTTATTTGTAGATCTGACTCAATGTTTTTGACAATTTTACTATTCATTATCTGTTATAGTTTTCAAAATAATAAAATAAAACTTTGCAAAAAATTGACATTTCAGGGGCAATGACTTCAAAATTGGTAGTCCAATTTTTCTGAAAATTCTTTAGGAGATAGACCTTGACCTGTTGATCATTTTGACTAATATCAGATTTGCTCAATTTTTTTTTAGTTTTTTAGATATAGAAAAACAGATTTTTCTAAAAATTGACATTTCAGGAGCAACAACTCATAAATGGGTTTTCTGAAAATTTCACCTTGACCTGTGCTTGTCACACTTTTCAGTTTTGCTCGAACTGCTTTAGTTTAAGAGATAACTAACCTCCACAGAATATGTTTTTATTGGTGGACAACTTTTGGCTCCACACACCAAAGCAAAATGGATAAGTGGTTCATGTTTCTCCAATGCTATTTTAAATCTTGGATCACTCTTTGAAAATGGCTTGGTGAACATACCTGTAACAGTAAGATATTGCACATCACATACTTTTTTTATATGGCATGACATAATATATCAAACAATATTTACACAACCTCAGTACTTTAATTCTTATCTGTAAGTTACCACAACAACTTAGCATTTCTGCAATGTACTATTTTAAAAAAACTAACATTCATGTTTTAAACAAGAGATTATCAAACGTCATTACTTACCAACACCTTTCCTATTAGCCCTCAAAACTCCATTCTCTATATCTTGTAAAGAATAGGAATGTCCTCCAATTATATATTTAACTGTATTGAAAAACTGAAAGATAAAAAATTGTTTTTAATGAAAAAAAACATGTCTTCTGTTAACAGATCAGGCCTTGCAGTCATAAAAAAAACTACCATCACTCAGGCTCAGAAATCAACCAATCAAAATACTGGATTTGGTCTTTCAAGCACAAATATTGTACTCCCGAGTACTGAGTAAAGTTTTATGACCAAGGGCCCTAATCATTATTTTAGGCAATGGTTTTAATAAAATGTAAGAGATGTACATATGTAAATCATATTTTTCATTTCTAAATATAGCATAAACATTGAAGTAATGAAGAATACAAAACTGGAAAAAAAATTCTACTTTTCACAAAAAAGAAGACATGTAAAAGTAGCAATTTTTTAATCAATTTCCATTTTCACTGAACTTTTCCTCACATTACATCATATAACCAAAGCTTAATAACTAATAAAATTTTAAGCGTGTCCTGTTATTACAAAACTAGGTTTAAATGCATAGACAGTAGAAATAAACAGCACTAATAAAACATTTTGGAGGTAAATTCTTGACCTTATATCTTTGCTGGAGTCCTTTAGTACAGTTTTTTTTTTCACCAAGTATCTTTGCACAAGTCCTTTACGATGACATTTTTCTTTACCTTATATCTTTGCCAGAGTCCGTTAGGAGGACCCAATGCCACATTAGCATGGACAACAAGAGCATTATAGATGTTGATGAAGAAAGCTAATTTCTCCTCCCGACTAGCAGTGGCTATTTGCACTCTCTGAAGTTCTTTCGTACGAGTTTTGTACACCTCAAATTCACTTGAAGTTGAAATTCCTCTATAATTTACTTTCTGGAAAGAAAGAAAATGAAAGTATACAAGAATTCTTGCAATTTCAGTTAAAATTAATATGGTGTTTTACAAATGTTGTATATCCAATGAAGCATCAAGGATAATGTTTTGTTGTTCACCTTACGCACAAACGTCAGAATAATCTTAACAACTGCAGATCACAGAATCTTGAAACTTGGTAAAATGTAAACACTATAAATAGGGATTGTGCAGAATGTTTGAAATTTGATATTTCCAGTCGGGGCAGACTTATTGGTGAAAGCATTTTCCTGATAACAGGTAAATTAGTGACAACTGGAGTCTTATAAACACATAGAAATCGTCTGTGCCAAATTTTTGGGAATTTTGATATTTGCCCTGAGTCCAGAATAATTGCTCAACATGTATTTTGGGTTATTCAGAAAGTATTGAAATATTTTGATCTACTAAGCATGCACTTTTGGAATATAAAACTTGAGTTACAAGGCACATTAGATTCAAACTCGACCAATGCTGAAGGAACTTTCATGCAATCAATCCCTCAGGATCCTTATGAATCTTAAAAGCGAAAAAAATTATCATCCTTATATTCCTCTAACATCAATTGAGATAGGATCATAAATTTGTTCATTACAAGGTCATCTCAAATTGTTATATATGAAATTATTTAATGTTTGAAAAATATCATTATGCCCGAGCTCAATGAAGAAGCTGAATAATGTTTTGCTGTTTGTTATATGTTAGCAGGACTGTTCTTAAAGTCAAGATTACTATTTTTATTTTATCCTGTCATGCATGGACTTAATGGCAACTCAGCTGCGTCAAAATATATATCACCAACGTCAATTATATTTTGTATCTGTCATTTACAAACCATAAAAAATATACACCCTAATAATGTAACCCCCCCCCCAAAAAAATTGACTTCAACATGTTCAACATGAACAGCTAAATCACGTCTTATCTTAATTCTTACATGAAATATTTTTAAAAGCATTTACTGTCCTTTAACTTTTAAAATTGTATTCTTTTGTACAATAGTCAATATTTGACTTACCCTGCCATCCTTGGACAGAAACACATTGTAAATCTTTAGAATTAACTTCCTTATGTCCTCACCAACTTCACCAGCTGAAAAAAAACATTAATTGTAATTCTTATATGATGTCCTGTTTAAGAAATATCTTTATAATGTCATGCTCTATGCTCATTTTTTAAAAACATTGGGATGTCTTATATATATTTTTACCTTTACAACAAGTAAGGGGTAAAATGTTGACAAATATACTATTAATAAAATTGAGAATGGAAATGGGGAATGTGTCGAAGAGACAACAACCCGACCATAGAGCAGACAACAGCCTATCAGTGTAAAAAAATCATAGAGCATGGCAGGAAAGAAATACTCCCATTATAATAGGAAAATTCTGACTTTTTTGAAGTGGACATATAAGTCACTCTCAAACGGTAAGCAAGGTGTAAAATGTTGAAAAATATAATGCCTACCCAGGAACTAACAAATCATATCTATATGAAACTAGATATGGACGATGTGAATATCTAACATCCCCCCTTTCTGACTTTTAGTACAAAAAAAAATGACTAAGTCCAAATACCTGGCATTTTGAGAATATTTAAATAAAATCAAAATCCTAACCTCTCTTATGTGTACAAACAACCTACAAAATATTACAGCTGTAGCTCAAAAACTTTAGGAGGAGATAGCTGGACAAACCATGATCTCTTAATTCAGCTAGTACCAAAAAATGACTAAGTCCAAATACCTGGCATTTTGAAAATATTTGAAAACAAGAGTGCACACGATGAAATGTCTCGCCTACTATACTGACCATTGATTTTATGTTGATAGTCCTAAATATAAAGTTTTACTACAAGTATCAAACTAACATTTATGATCCAAGAAAATGAGGTCAAGGTCAGATATACCAAGCCGGAAATAAATGTACACCTTTAATACAATCATTCCATACACCGAATATAGATGACCTATTGCTTATAATATGAAGAAACAGACCAAACCATGGAAATTTCATAAGACCAATGAACCATGAAAATGAGGTCAAGGTCAGATGAACCCTGCCAGACAAACATGTACACCTCAAAATCATTCTATGCATCAAATATAGTTGACCGATTGCCTATCCTATAGTATCTAAGAAACAAAGTTAGCCAGGAAAACTGAACATTGACCAATGAACCATAATAATGATGTGAAGGTCAGATGATACCTGCCAGACAGACATACACACCTTACAATCATTCCATACACCAAATATAGTTGACCTATTGCCTAAAGTTTAAGAAAAACAGACCAAAACACAAAACTTAACATTGAACAATGAACCATGAAAATGAGGTCAAGGTCAAATAAAACCTGCCAAACTGATATGTACATGGTAAAATATTTCCATACACCAAATACAGTTGACCTATTGCAGAAAGTATTAGAAAAACAGACCAATACAAAATAAACTGCTTCGCTGAGCCCAGCTGGATACGCCCGCAGAGGTCCAACCCTGAACAGTTGGGGCAAAAATGGACACAATATTCAATCTTGATACAGGTCTGAATTTGGATTGTAATTAAATATTTGACGTATTATAGGTTTCTGAATAAATGTAGTCAAAGAACTTGAAATTGGTTATATGAATTGAATTTATATTCAATTAAAGATTTCTTGCTGTTGTGCAATACACTATGCTGTTGTGCAATACTTAGTAAATCTGTTGTCAGACTATAAACAAATAAAATTTATAAAATTCTAAAGGGAGCTTACATCAATAGATATAAACAATTCACCAAAGTTTCATAAGAATTGCTGAAAGCATTTTTGAGTTATTGTTTGAAAACTGGAAAATCCCCCCTTTATAATGAATAAAACCCCATAACACGGAAATGTAAAATCTAAAATTTATAAAATTCTAAAGGGAGCTTACATCAATAGATGTCAACAATTCATCAAAGTTTCATGAGAACTGCTGAAAGCATTTTTGAGCTATTGTCCCAAAACTGGAAAATCCCCCTTTTTTTATGAATAAAACCCCGTAACTTGGAAACGTTAAATCTAAAATTTATAAAAATCAAAAGGGAGCTCATGTCAATAGATATAAACAATTAACCAAAATTTCTTGCAAGTTGGTGTGAAAGCATTCTTGAGTTATTGTCCGAAAACTGGAAAATCCCCCTTTTTTTAATGAATAAAACCCCATAACTCGGAAACGTAAAATCTAAAATTTATAAAAAACGAAAGGGAGCTCACATCAATAGATATAAACAATTCACCAAAGTTTTATGCAAATTGGTTAAAGCATTTTTGAGTTAATGTGCGACATGTTGACGACAGACGGACAGAGGTATACCATAATACGCCCCGTAAACGGGCGTATAAAAACTTAACATTGAGCAATGAACCATGAAAATGAGGTCAAGGTCAAATAAAACCTGCCAGACTGATATGTACATCGTAAAATATTTCCATACACCAAATATAGTTGACCTATTGCATACAGTACATTAGAAAAACAGACGAAAACACAAAAACTTAACTTTAACCACTGGACCATGAAAATGAGGTCAAGATCAGATGCAAACTGCCAGTTGGACATGTACACCTTACAATCATTACATACACCAAATATAGTAGACCTATGGCTTATAGTATCTGAGATATGGACTTGACCACGAAAACTTAACCTTGTTTACTGATCCATGAAATGAGGTCGAGGTCAAATGAAAACTGTCTGACAGGCATGAGGACCTTGCAAGGTACGCACATACCAAATATAGTTAACCTTTAACTCATAATGAAATAACCTTAGTGAGCGCGCTCACATACCCCACGTCCCCACATTGTCATTGGAGAAATAAAATAAGTGTAAGAAAAAAAAATTGAATCATAATTTCCTGTCAATATGCACATCTACATAGTATGTCCTTATTATCTGAAAAGGTTTCATGAAATTCTGTTGTGTGGTTTGAGAGGAGTTGCGATGACAAACTGTTGCAGTAGTACATTAAAGTAAATAAGTTCAAAGGGGCGTAACTCCTAGAAAAAGAATTGAATCGTAATTTTCTGTCGATATGCACAACTACATAGTATGTCCTTATTATCTAAAAAGGTTTTGTGAAATTCTGTTGTGTGGTTTGAGAGGAGTTGCGATGACAAGAAACAGGACTGACGGACTGACAGACGGACGGACAGACAGACGGACGGGTCAAAAACATTATACCCTCCGCAACTGGTTGCATGGGGTATAATAAGAGAGAAACTAACATTACAATAAATGTAGATAGTGTCCACATGTGGACACAGATAATGCCCCCGCTTGCATATCATATAGTTATAAAGGGACATAACTGAAGAACGGTAAAAGTGACGTTACCCAAATTTGAACTTGATCTGAGTTTTGTGGAAATAAGCATTGTGTGTAAGTCTCATAACATTTGGTTGAGGCTAACTTAAGTAGAGAACATAAACTAAAAATTCTGCAATTTTTCTATTTTTGAACATGCATAACTCTAGAATGGTTGTGTATAAGTTTTATAACATTTGGTTGAGACAAACTAAAGTTAGAGAACGGAAACGAAAAATTCAGCAATTTTTATGTTTATAAAGGGACATAACTCAAGAATGGTAAAAGTGTTGCCACCAAATTTCGTACTTAATCTGTATTATGTAGTAATAAGCTGAGTGTATAAGTTTCAAAACATTTGGTTGAGGCAAACTAAAGTTAGAAAACGGAAACAAAAAATTTGTACTTGATCTTAGTTTTGTGGTTATGAATATTGTGTATGGGTTTCATAATGTTTGGTTGGGGCAAACTTAAGTTACAGAATGGAAACTAAAAATTTTGCAATCTTTCAATTTATAAAGGGGTATAACTCAATAATGGTTAAAGTGAAACTACCCAAATTCAACTTGATCTGTGTTTTATCAGTGGAAGTAAAAATTAAACATTGCATTGTATAAAGCATTGATTGTAGTTGATTCAACTATAATCATGGACAAAGGAAGATGACTCCAATTTTAAAAATTACTTGATATTTAGAAGAAAATAAAAATTAAAAATTTTTCCATTTATAAAGGGGCATAACTCTAGAATGGTTAAAGTGACGCCACCAAAATTTAAACTTGATCTATGTTTTGTGGTAATAAGCATTGTGTATGAGTTTTATAACATTTGGTTGAGACAAACTAAAGTTAGAGAACGAAAACGAAAAATTCAGCAATTTTTATGTTTATAAAGGGACATAACTCAAGAATGGTAAAAGTGTCGCCACCAAATTTCGTACTTAATCTGTATTATGTAGTAATAAGCCGAGTGTATAAGTTTCATAACATTTGGTTGAGGCAAACTAAAGTTAGAAAACGGAAACAAAAAATTTGTACTTGATCTTAGTTTTGTGGTAATGAATATTGTGTATGGGTTTCATAATGTTTGGTTGGGGCAAACTTAAGATACAGAATGGAAACTAAAAATTTTGCAATCTTTTGATTTATAAAGGGGTATAACTCAATAATGGTTAAAGTGACACTACCCAAATTCAACTTGATTTGTGTTTTATCAGTGGAAGTAAAAATTAAACATTGCATTGTATAAAGCATTGATTGTAGTTGATTCAACTATAATCATAGACAAAGGAAGATGACTCCAATTTTAAAAATTACTTGATATTTAGAAGAAAATAAAAATTAACAATTTTTCCATTTATAAAGGGGCATAACTATAGAATGGTTAAAGTGACGCCACCAAAATTCAAACTTGATCTGTGTTTTGTGGTAATAAGCATTGTGTATAAGTTTCATAACATTTGGTTGAGGCAAACTTAAGTTAGAGAACGGAAACTAAAAATATTGCAATTTTTCCATTTATAAAGGGCATAACTCTAGAACGGTTAAAGTGATGCCACCAAAATTCAAACTTGATCTATGTTTTGTGGTAATAAGCATTGTGTATGAGTTTTATAACATTTGGTTGAGACAAACTAAAGTTAAAGAACGGAAATGAAAAATTCAGCAATTTTTATGTTTATGAAGGGACATAACTCAAGAATGGTAAAAGTGTCGCCACCAAAATTCAAACTTGATCTATGTTTTGTGGTAATAAGCATTGTGTATAAGTTTCATAACATTTGGTTGAGGCAAACTCAAGTTAGAGAACGGAAACCAATTTTGGGACGTACGGACGGACAAGGGTAAAACTTAATGCGGCGGGGGCATTAAAAAATCTTAACTTTTTTTTCAAGTAGTTACTGAACCATGAGAATGAGGTAAATGACATATGACAGACGGAAATTTCATATCATAAGGCATCTATGTACAAAGTATGAAGCATCCAGGTTTTCTACCTTCTGAAATATTAAGCTTTTAAGAAGTTAGTTAACGCCTCTACCGCCGCCAGATCACTATCCCTATGTCAAGCTTTCTGCGACAGAAGTCGCAGGCTCGACAAAAATCAAATTCCTGTGGACATGCACACCTCTCTAATGTGTAAGAACTACCTACAAAATATACAGATGGGTAAATTAATATGGCCCCCAACATATTGTCGTGGGGGCATAAAATGATAAAAACATACTGACCGGGTCTAGGTTCACAATTTGACATGGTCCCTGAATTTAATGCCTCTGTTTCATCATCATCTAAAAGTCTATAATAAACATCAGCATCTTGGAATGTTTCCTGTGATTTAACATTGTGTCCGAAGTGTTTGTCTATTAATGCTTGGCCCATTTCTATAGCAACAGATCTGTCTAAAAAAGAATAGGTTTATTCTGTTAAATGTGAAGTAATAATTTATCAGTCTACATATTATTTTCAACTTGAGTTAGAGTTTAAATCTATATCATACTTTTTGGTGTGATTAATCATCAAATTTATCAATGCTGTTAAGGATATACACTACACAAAAGTATGTTGGTTTACAAATGTCTGTCTTTTAAAAATTTTACACAATACTGTCATACAGTGTATGTCATGAAATTTTATTGAATATCTAAAAAAGAGATTTGCCAAAAGTGTGATATATTATATATTGAACAAATTTATCAAATACTGCTTATTATATAGGTAATTTGATTAAGATCCTTACTTTGATCATCTAGCTGCTGAAATCCATTTCACTGTTTTAGTTTTTATTTGACAAGATTCACTAGTACGGCAAAATTATGTATAATCATAATTTATTTAATACAAGATCAGTTTGAGGTAAATTCTATGCCATACTGTCAATTCAGAAAAAAATTGAATAATAGGAATGTAGAATATATATCAATAAGGCAGCAACTTAACAACATAATTTACACAAAAAACATCTAAAGGTCAGCATGAGAGTTCAGTAATAAATAGGTGTCAAAGTCATATATTAAGTTCTGAACCTTTGAGAGTCTTCACAGACTAACAAAGATCTTACATCAACAAAAAGTCCTACATATTGTAAACGGTACAGGGGAAAGCCATTGTGTCTTGTCTGCTATTGCTGCTGTCAAAGTAATGTTGCTGCCAAAAACTAAGTTTATTTATCAGTAATATATAGATAACAATAAAAAAATTCATAACTTTTTCTTCAGATGCTATTTCTGGATCTTGAAGAAGCTTTTGTCCAAGTTCCATAACATTCCTTGTCAACAAATTTATTATTCAACTGTATCTAAATGTTGACTGCTAACAAGGTCCATTTGTCAGTAAAACACAGACAATTAAAAGAAAAAAAAATACCAATTTGGCATCACCCATTACACTTTCATAAAATTCTATGAAGTTTTGACAAAGTTATTGATGACGTTGACTGAGGGACAGACTGACAAAGTATAAACTATAGAGCTCCTTCGTCTTTAATGCAGTCCCAAATTAAGCTGATACATATTAACTACAATTGTTATACTAACCTAACTCCTTTGTTTTTACTATCCAGTCCACAAATTCTTTGCCACTGAATGAGTTTTTATGGACAGTCAGCAATCCTTGTCTATTATCTTTAATTATACCACTTGCACGCAGATCTTTCACTAACTGAGCATATTCATCTAGTTCGCATGTAAATCCAGAGAGATCTGTAAAAGTTATCTATTGAAAATTACAACATAAATGGAGAATGTGTCCATGGGACACAGATGATGCCCCAGCTTGCATATAACGTTATAAAGGGGCATGACTCGAGAACGGTAAAAATGATGCCACCCAAAATCAAACTTGATCTGTGTTTTGTGGTAATAAGCATTGTGTTTAAGTTTCATAACATTTGGTTGAGGCAAACTAAAGATTCGGGACGTACTTACAGACGGTTGGATGTACGGATGGACAAGGGTAACACTTAATGCCCCCCCCCCCCCCAGTAATGGTGGGGGCATAAAAAGTATAAAAAGTCTGTAATATGCCAAACTAAAATAAGGCCAACTGTGGTCCACATGAAAATAACTTACAGCACCTAAAAATAAATTGTGTGTGCATGTACAAAGCAAGAATATGCTTAATTGTCAAGAAAAAGACTAAACAACACATATCCTAAAAATAAATTGTGTGTGCATGTACAAAGCAGGAATATACTTATTTGTCCCGAAGAAAACAAACAAGCACATTTACAAATTACACTTTGTTTTCAATTTCATATTGTTTAGCAAAGGGAAACATTTGTTACATGAAAAAAGCTATTTCTTTTTTTCATAGATACTATGCCAGTGTAATCTACCAATAACATTTTCCTGATGCTTCCAGTAATTTGTATAATTCATGACTAGTTTTCTCTTTTTTGTTGATCTTGTATTGCTGATCAAATTTTGTTTTCTCTTTCTCTCTATCTTCTGTGGATTCATATATTTTCATGGGTTGAGGGAAAATTGCTTTTTGGTGGATATTTGATTTTGTGGTTTTGCCAAATTCTGCAGATATGCCAATAAAAAAATTTGCATTTTGTAAAACATTTAATTTTGCAGTCTACATTTACCCACCAAATCCATGAAAATTGGTATCAAACTAATAATAATGAATCCACAGTTTTATAGTTTTTACATATTATGCAAAAATTGGGTAAAAATCATCATTTAAGGGCAAAAACTCCTATAAGGAGTCTTTTGAAATTTCAGCTGTGCTGATATATTTGCAGATCTTGTCTTGGTGATAATTTTTGCTGTTTACAATTTTTCTTTATCTATTATAATTTTGGCCAAATATGCAAAAAATTGGTAAAAATTCGTAAGGGTTCCGCGGAACCCAGTGTCTCGCCTACTTTTGCTGTTAATCGCAGGCTCAACAAAAATGAGGAAAAAAATAAATAAAAATATTCCTCTCTATACTATCTTTTGATTGTTAGTAGCTTCTGTCCAAGTTTGGTAAAAATCCAGGATAGTTTATGAATCTAATAAATGTTTTAAAAACTTAAACTGCAGACTGTATGTAATGTTAACTGGAAGAAAAACAAAGTCCATTTATAAGTAAAATACAGAAAAAATCAAACAAAATTTTAACAAAATTTCCTTCTAGATACTAGCTTTTAATCATAAACAAGCTTCTGTCCAAGTTTCGTACAAATCCAGGATAGTTTAAGAAAGTTGTTAAAATTTTAAAAACTTTAACCACTGAGTGAATGTAATGTTAACTGGCAGAAAAACTAAGTCCATTTATAAGTAAAATACGGAAAAAATGGATTTTTTTTTTACAAAATTTACTTCTGGATACTATCTTATGATCATAAACAAGCTTCTTTCCATGTTTGGTAGAAATCCAGGATAGTTTAAGAAAGTTATTAAAATTTCAAAAACTTCAACCACAGAGTGAATGTAATGTTTCTTGGCAGAAAAACTAAGTCCATTTATAAGTAAAATACGGAAAAAATGGTGTTTTTTTTTTACAAAATTTACTTCTGGATACTATCTTATGATCATAAACAAGCTTCTTTCCAAGTTTGGTAGAAATCCAGGATAGTTTAAGAAAGTTATTAAAATTTCAAAAACTTTAACCACAGAGTGAATGTAATGTTTCTTGGCAGAAAAACTAAGTCCATTTATAAGTAAAATACGGAAAAAATGGAATTTTTTTTTTACAAAATTTACTTTTGAATATTATCTTATGATCATAAACAAGCTTCTGTCAAAGTTTGGTAGAAATCCAGGATAGTTTAAGAAAGTTATTAAAATTTCAAAAACTTTAACCACAGAGTGAATATTTGTGGACGCCGCCGACGACGACGACGCCGACGCCGACGGAATGTAGGATCGCTATGTCTCGCTTTTTCGACAAAAGTCGAAGGCTCGACAAAAATCATCATTAAAGGGTAATCACTCCTATAAGGAGTCAATCTACTATTTCTGCCATCTTGACAATTTTTCAGATCTTGTCCTGTTGATTTTTTTAGCATTTTACCGTTTTTTTAATCCATATTATAGCCAACATTGCAAAAATTGGTTAAAATCGTCATTTAGGGGCTAAAACTCCTGTAAGAAATTGAACCAAGAATAGGTCATGTTTATCTTCTTTGAAGATCTTGTCTTGCTCATCTTATTGCCATTTAAAGTTTCATTCTTAGTATTTGGTACAATTTTCAATATAATAGGCAAAAATGGTTAGTTAAAATAATCAGTTAAGAGCAATAACTCCTAAAAAGAATTGTCTGACAGTTTTGGTGTAAAAAATCAGTGGATAGATCTCAATATTCTGAACATTTCTAATGCTGTCAGATTTACTCTATCTATAGCAGTTGTCAAGATAATAGACAAAACTTGCATTTTACCCTATGTTCTATTTTTAATCATGCCAGTCATGTTGGTTGAAAGGCATTGAACACATTTTTTAACTAGATACCCCAAGGATGATTGTGGCCATGTGTGGTTCTAATTGAAACAGTAGTTTCAGAGCAGAAGATTTTGTAAAAGTTAATGGATACCAAGAGATGGGGAAAAAATTAATGGGTACATGTACAAATTCTTTTGCAAATTTGTTGTTAACCTTCATATAACCTCAAGTCCAGTGTCTAAGTTTCTATTGTTGACATGAAGTAAATGAGCATACAGACAAAGGAAATTATTGACCAGCATCCCATATAAAATATAAAAAGAGGTATACAAGGCCAATATATAAAAGAAATCTATCCAATGAAGTACTTGGAAGTAACCTTATATAAAAGAAGATAAGTTTTCATTGTTGTTTTTTCGTCTTAAAAGTACATAGAAGGTCTTAAACAAAGAAGCAATGGACCTCCATTTACAAGGTTAAAATGGTTTACTAGCATCAATATAAGAAACTAAAAATGTTCACTTATAAATTACAACATGTACTGCTGAAGTCAGTTCCTGTTCATCTAAAGCAACTTCATTGTAAATGAAATAACTTACTTTTCATAATGTATGAATGAATCAAAACCTTTTTGTACATTAATAGTTAGCAATAAGATTTTGTTAAGTGTGTCTATATTTGGTCATTGTATCCTGCATTAATATTTTACCAGTATCTTTTACAGCTGTGCTGGGATCTGGCGGCTGAGGGGCACTTGCTGGAACCTCATTTTCTTGCACTTCTTTAACCAATGCAGCAAAGGTTGGTTTGTCTGTAATCTGCAATAAAACGGCAGAGCCATGCATATTTCTAAATTTATTTTAATCTGTTGCATTTCTTTTAAGTTTAAAAACTACATGAATCATTTTGTATCTTGAAATATATTGATATGCAGTTTAACAAGTTCTAAAAGCATACAAATTTCATCAAAATCAGAAATACCATCCATCTACCTACATGTACTTTGCCTTAAAAGGGAATCTATTCCCAGGCTCAATTAGACAAACAAAAGACTAATTACTTCAGATGAAATTCTTTGCTCAATACAATGAAAAAATAAATAAAACATTTAATTACATTTATTGAGGTGTATTATGCATGTTTTGTCTAAACAATGTTTGCACAAAATGAACTCATAATAATATTCATTGAAAGTTACTCTGAGCAAGAAATTGAGTAATTGCTCAAATGACTTTGCCTATATTTGAATACTTGACATTGCTGCAAAGAAGAAAGGCTTTACTTATGATTTTTGATTGCTCATCTGGCAAATGTATTCCTTAATTGCTCAAGAGAACAGAGAAGATAATTTCTAACATATTTTTCTACAGATGGTTAATATTCAACAATCCCCTAGTTTTCCATACATTTTGCCATGTAGATTCAGTGAAGACTTTCAAAAATTTGCCAATCCAAATCAAATATTGCCCCTTGTGGCAAACTAGAGAGCATGGCACTCTCCCTACATAAGACTTCAGATTTAACATCCCGTCCCCACTGGATGTAACATTAACTGTGTACTTATACACCCTGAACAGCCAAACAGACACCCCTCTTAAGCAAGGGTTTAATTAATAGTAGAGAGTTGAAGTCAAGTGTTGACCATATTTCTTTACTCCAGTCAACCTTTGGTTCAGATGAAAATGTGATTTTCCAAAGTGTTTCAATAGGAACTATCATGACTATGTACAACCAATGCCATCAAGTTTTCCACCCAATCAAAATTAAATGAAGATCATTTATAGATGGTCTTTTAAACAAAGGACATTTTTCCTTGTAGTTTGATAGATGTAATATTAGCCAATCAGAATCAAAGATGGCTTCTGGCAGCCAAAGAAGATGTTGAAAATGTTAATTTTCAAACAAAAAATTAACTAACATATGATGGAAGCAGTGATGACTCTAGGTACTGCACACAACTAACAAACCCAATCAATTCTGCTTCTAGTGGTACAAAGATTATTAAAAATGGCCCAAGAATGACCCCACACTAATTTTTGAAATTTTCTTTTAACATGAAATATATATACATGATCATGTACTGAAAAATTGCTAGTGAGGAATATGCATTCCCTGTGCTGTACTTGACATAAAATCCATAATTAATTATATAAGTGTCTTTGCACGGTAAAAATGGAAAACCTGAAATATAGCATCACATGTAACTATTGCAATTAATGGATATTCCCCGTACACAGATTCAACAAAAATGTTTATTATTAGATTATTTGATAAAACACATTTAAACAAGAAATTATTTGAATTTGGAATAATATTGAATTCTGGGAAATTGATAAGAAATGTATAATGAAACTAACCCAATTTACAAGGGTTAACCATACATGCATGGCTAAAGGGGGGTTAGTTAGTTTTAACTGAAATATAGATCTCAGTGAAAGTAAAGTTAACCTTAATAGCCATGCACACATGACTAACCCTATTTAGTTGGGTTAGTTTTCATCTTACATTTCTTATCAATTTTCCAGAATTCAAAATTATTCCCGATTCAAATTCCTTTTATTTTAGCAGAAAAAAATTTTAACTGTCAATTTCTCCTGATTTCTGGCTATTGATGTAGAAAAGTTTTAAAAAGTGATGCATACATGTATTTCACTATTCATTCTTTGAATTTTTTCCTATTGTCAAAAACTTAAGTTTAAATAATGTGAGAGTGTAAAAGCCAAACTATGTATTATGTAAAATCATTTACTTATACATGTATAAGAGGATCTGAATGGGTAGTCCTTCAATAATTGCCTCTTTTTCATAGAGAAATTACACATCACAAAGCAAATTTCTTTACGTCACAATGTCCTATAAAATATTTTCTTCCAAATTAGTTCATTCATAAAATCGAAATTGGAATCTCATGTATTCTGCATTCCTTAATTTTCTTAGCCGTTATTCTCTACTCTTTATAAAATTTGCCCATTATTCTCCATTCTTTCTATTCTAGCACCCCATTTTTCTCTATTCTTTATTTTTATGCCTATTTATCTCTCATTCTTTATTTGTTTGCCACATTTTTCTGTAGCATTGGTCCATCATTCTTGATTCTGTAATTCCACATCCTCATATAAGATGCAAGGTTTTAAAATTATCTATGCATATTTTTGAGTCAGAAATAAAGACTGATATAGACCTTTCATCAGCCTTTCATATGATAAGGGCCTCCCCTCCATTCATATAAAAATAAGATGTGGTATAATTGCCAATGAGACAACTCTCCACAAGAGACCATTTGACACAGAAATTAACAACTATATATATCATGCCTACTGATGTGTCCAAACCTTTTGTTAAGTTTTTTCTGCTACATTTACAAGACAAGTTCTATGCTCTTTAAATTAATGTCTCTATTGTTTGGCAAAGGAATGTAGGGTCGTCATGTACATGATACTACACTCAATAGTAACAAGAGTATACTTTTTGTATTTAATCAAGTCTAAATTGAAAACAACGTTCATACCTATGATTGCGTTGGATAAAAACAATTAATGTCTCTTCAGTGATGTTAGGAATCGAAACGGTATTTGGAAAGCTTTTTGTATTTAATATATTATTGGTTCTAATGGCTGAGATATTTCAAGTCATGCGCATTTTCTCAACATTAGTGATGTATTTTTTTTATTTATAATTTTTATAAACATTATGATGAAATAAATAATTACATTTTTCTTTCAAAAACGAATAAATTACACTAAAACAGGATTTTACAGATATAGCAATGTTCTGTTTCTTCACTCTATTCATAATACGATCAATGCACTTTTAAATCATCTAATCACGATCTGGATCTGGTCTGTTGATATTATAAATATACTTGACGAAAAATCAATCAGGAGCTCAGAATTTAACATTGATCTTATGTTCAATACCTCAATTTTAAACTTAATTATTACTGATGAAATGAATACTTTGGAAAGGATCTTTGCAAGTCATGATAATTTCTGTTTGATTTTTTTGCTATGATGTAGACATAAAATATAATATGAATGTGCATTCTAATACTTTAATAAGACTCAGTTCTTAAACATACACATTCCCTGGAGTTTTAAAAAAAAATGAATAACTGAAATTACTTATATTCAATAGTTCAAACTGCAATAATCAGATCTCTTGTCTTTTAAACAGTCATCTACTGAAACAAGAGAACCATTGCATCATGTTCATCAGGCTTCTTTACAAAACATTACTAAAACATGATATTTAAATTCATTATTTTAAAAATGATTATTTTTTCCCCATTTTAACTTTAAGTTGGATATTAAAAAGTTTCTTTGCATTTTCTTGTACCTGTGGTTTTTTTTATGTTTTAAAACTTTTGTTTTGTGATATTATTCACAAAATAGAGCATCAGCCATGAAAGCATTTTTAAAGCAGGATTGTATAAAACCATCAGACAGACTAAAACAACCTCCATTTCAATAAAAGAAATATTTTCATTTAAAAAAAATCTTTTACAGCAGATATATATGCTTAATTGTTCAAACTTTTAGTAAATTTTATCACAAATGTAGAGATTAACTGTGGAAGTATATCGTTTTACATCCAGGAATTTAAATAAAAAGTTGTTATTCACACCCAGCTTTTTACAGTAAAGTTATTTCTAAAGCTTCTTAAAAGTTAAGAAATTATCCTTTCAATCTTTCTTTTTTGTATTGATAAAGGTTAAAGTTTAATTGTGTTTGTTCAATCATTGTATCTCATATTTTTTCTATATGAACATATTATCATAAAATAAAATGCTCCGCTGGGGCGCAGCTTGAAACGACCGCAGAGGTCGAACCCTGAACAGTTGGGGCAAGTATGGACACAACATTCAAGCTTGATACAGCACTGAATTTGGATTGTAATTAAATATTTCACACAGCATAGGTTTCTGACACAAAATGAATGTGGTCTAAGAACTTAAAAATTTTTAATTTACCTATTCAAACCATATCATTATTATTTGCTTTTATATATAAATCAGAATAACCAATTTAAAATGGAAAATTTTAAAGAAAAAAAATGAAAAAAAAAATCCCCCCCCCATATTTTTTGAACCCCCTTATGATTCATCACCCCCAAAATCAATCCCAGCCTTCACTATGTGGTATGGTACCTTGCAGTACAATTTCAGAGAGATCCATACACTTGAACACAAGTTATTGTCTGGAAACTAGAAAAATGCTTATTTTTGGCCTCTTTTTGGCCCCAAGTTCCTAAACATTTAGGGCAATTACCCCCAAACTCAAACCTAGCTTTCCCTTTGTGATATGGAACCTTGCAGTACAATTTCATAAAGATCCATACACTTACACACAAGTTATTGTCCTGAAACTAGAAAAATGCTTGTTTTTTTGCCCCTTTATGGCCCCTAATTCCTAAAATTTTGAGGGAATTACCCCCAAAATCAATCCCAGCCTTCCCTTTGTGATATGGTACCTTGCAGTACAATTTCAGAGAGATCCATACACTTGAACACAAGTTATTGTCTGGAAACTAGAAAAATGCTTATTTTTGGCCCCTTATTCCAAAAAGTTTTGGGCAATTGCCCCCAAACTCAATTCCAGCTTTTCCTTTGTGATATGGAACCTAGTAGTACAATTTCATAAAGATCCATACACTTGAACACAAGTTATTGTCTGGAAACTAGAAAAATGCTTGTTTTTTGCCCCTTTTTGGCCCCTAATTCCTAAAATTTGGAGGCAATTCCCCCCAAAATCAATCCCAGCATTCCCTTTGTGATATGGAACCTTGTGGTACAATGTCAGAGAGATCCATACACTAACACACAAGTTATGTCTGGAAGTTACAAAAATGCTTATTTTTGGCCCCTAATTCCTTAACTGTTGGTACCATAACCCCCAAAATCAATCCCCACCTTCCTTTTGTGGTATTGAACCTTATGGTAAAATTTCATAGAGATCCATTTACTTAAACTAAAGTTAGAGTGCGGAAACCAATGTGTCTTCGGACGACGACGACGCCAACGTCATACCAATATACGACCGCAAATTTTTTTTTACAGTCGTATAAAAAGGAGATGTGGTATGATTGCCAATGAGACATGTTGAATGTGATTGGTCTGTTTTGATTTCTTTGTTTACACTTTGAGAACCAATATTGTCAGAACTAGCTTCATAACCTACGTAAACACTATTGTAAAGAAACTGACTATTCATAAATTTTTGATTAATGCTAAAAAGTGCAATTTTAGCATATGTACTTCATTAATTGATAAAGTAAATATTCAGATTATAACACAAATTTGATTGTAGAACAATGATCAGCATTTTAATTTATACTAATGTGGGGGACTTGTTCCCTGAGGGTGTCTATCTAGCAGCATGATTGGAAGCAATTAAAATTTTACAATTCACTCATAGAAATTTTTTTTTATAATTCTACTTTAGAATGTGTGTCCAGTAATAAATATTAAGGTATACATTTTTCAGCTTCAGGAAGTTTTTCATTGACTAAAAATGAGCTTTATAAAAAAGCACTGAAAGGATATTACAAATTAAGAAAAGATTTTTTAGTATAAATCCAGGAATTGGAAAATAAGATACTTACTTATCTGTAAAAAGAAATTTTGGTTCAGAGAATTATCTTAGTGTGATTAAAAACTTTCATTTAAGAAAAGCATTTTGCAGATTAAGAATATCATCACACAAATTATTTATAGAAACTTGAAGATATAAAAACATATCAAGAGAAAATAGAATTTGTTGTAAATGTGGAAAAAATGAGGTAGAAAATGAATTACATTTCTTAATTAAATGTGACAAATACCACATTGAGAGAAAAGAAATTTTTACCTTTATATCTAGTAAAGTGAAAAATTTTAACCAGTTATTTGAGGAAAAGTTCTTTTTTATATCAAATAACGAGGACAAGGATATTTTATATTTTATGAGTAAATTTTTATATGATCATTTGCCGAAAACTCTATCTTAATCTTATCTAAGATATGTATATTTATCGCAACGCGGGTAAATTATCACGTTGTGATTGGTTTAACGCCGTCACGTGGTGACCCTCTATGGATCCGTAGGGGGTCAGTAGCGAACCATATAACTTATAATATTAATTTATGTAAATGCTATTGACCTTCCTATTGACTTTAACAACATATACAAGACATAGATAAATAATATGTTTTTTTTTTTTTTTTTTGTGAGTGTCATTAAATGCTATCAATCAAGTAATTCTTTCCCTCTGAATAGTTCTTTTGTCATGTTTGTATTTGTTTAACATGTTTAATATGTGTAATGTTATAATCTCATGTTGCCCCTTGTGGGCCCTTTAATTTGGAATAAAGTATATCTATTCTATTCGATTCTATACTACACTAAGATTAAATTAAAATTTTTTCAAGCTATGGATTGCTTCAATCATACACTGTAGCTGGGAAATAACCAAAGTATCCCAAAAATGGGCAAAACTTCATTATATTCTTCCTATATAAACACATGATAAAAGTATTGGAGAAATGGAAGAAATTCAATTTTTACCCCCAGAAAAGACTCGATTGTATTAGATATATATATTTAGCAATAAATTATTGAATAATACTATGAAACTACACAATGTACAATATATCTTGACTATTTTGTGAAAAAAAACTTCAAAAATCACATAGCCCAGTATTACTGCAACCATACTATCAGTATTGTCATGATAGTGTCTTTTTAATTTTTTTTACAATACTGGAACAAAATTTTTATTCCAGTATTGTGTAAGGACTGTGGGAGGACACTTATTCATGCTATTTCATAACTGTTGCTGTAAAATTCTGTCCACTTTAAAGAGACAAACAGATGCGGATCCATAATTTTGAAGAAGGGGGGGCCCACAGGCCTCCAAACTAGACAAAATTTGTAGTGGAACCGGTAAAAAGTCTGAATTAATTATAACCATAAATAAAGTTCCATAAGAGGGACATCCCCCTTAAATCCACCCCTGACAAAACTCTTTATTTAGTACTTTACATCTGTGAAAAACTGTCCAGGCGAACCTTTTTTACAGGACACTATTATGTCTTACTATTGCAGACAATACTGGTATAACAGTATTGCGATCAACAAGTACAGGAGATACATTGATTTCATGCATGTTGTATAAACCTCGAAGAGGGGAAGGTAAAACATCCTACATGTACTTTTCAGTATGGATCTTTTTACTGTCCAAAATGATTTTTTTAATAAGAATTTTGGAGATGGAGTCAACAGACCTGGAATATAATACAGAACAGACTTACCAACTTTTCGAGATCATCATTTCCACCAACATGTGTTGCATTAAAGAATATCTGGGGTACAGTACTTCTTCCTGTTCTAGATTTCACATCTTCTCTACATTGTGGAAAGTTGTCAAGATTTATGTCATTATAGGGAATATTATGTTGTTGTAACGTGTTTTTAGCTCTCATACAGTGGGGGCAACCTGTGATGGAGTATACAAGCACTCTTCCTTTCAGCTCCATGTCAGATTTTCGCTGATGCACGACTGTCAGATTTAGACCGGGTAACTGTACAGGAAGGAAAATCTTATAAGTCAACCACGAGTAAGATCCGGACAGCCATATTACGAAGCTATTTAAATAATTGTTCATGACGTCACTTTCCACAACTAATCAAGTGTTTTCCTGCTTACTCATTTTTTTCAGTCACATGAAATTGGAGATAACTCTAATTTTACGTGTGGAAAGTAAAGGGGAGATAATCATGATTAATGATGGTAATTTTTAATCCATTTATAATAAAATGCTTCGCTGGGCGCAGCTTGATACGACCGCAGAGGTCGAACCCTGAACAGTTGGGGCAAGTATGGACACAACATTCAAGCTTGATACAGCTATGAATTTGGATTATGATTAAATATTTGACACAGCATAGGTTTCTGACACAGAAAGAATGTGGTCTAAGAACTTGATTTTTTTTAATTTACCTATTATGGTCCAATGTCCAAAATCAAAAACATGGTTAGATTCAGCATATCAAAGAACCCCATATATTCAATTTTTGTTAAAATCAAACTAAGTTTAATTTTGGACCCTTTGGACCTTAATGTAGACCAATTTAAAAAACGGGACCCAAAATTAAAAATCTAAATACACAGTTAGATTTGGAATATCAAAGAACCCCAATAATTCAATTTTTTATGAAATCAAACAAAGTTTAATTTTGGACCCTTTTGACCTCAATATGAACCAATTTGATAGTGGGGCCCACAAATAAAAAATCTAAATACATGGTTAGATTCAGCATATCAAAGAACCCCATATATTCAATTTTTGTTGAAATAAAAAAAAGTTTGATTTTGGACCCCAACTTGAAAACTGGGCCCATAATCAAAAATCTAAACACATGTTTAGATTCAGCATATCAAAGAACCCTAAGAATTCAATTTTTGTTAAAATCAAACTAAGTTTAATTTTGGACCCTTTGGACCTTAATGTTGACCAATTTAAAAAACGGGACACAAAATTAAAAATCTAAAAACACAGTTAGATTTGGCATATCAAAGAACCCCAATAATTCAATTTTTGATGAAATCAAACAAAGTTTAATTTTGGACCCTTTTGACCTCAATATGAACCAATTTGATAGCGGGGTCCACAAATAAAAAATCTAAATACATGGTTAGATTCAGCATATCAAAGAACCCCATATATTCAATTTTTGTTGAAATCAAACAAAGTTTAATTTTTGGACCCCAATTTGGACCAACTTGAAAACTGGGCCAAAAATCAAAAATCTAAATACATGTTTAGATTCAGCATATCAAAGAACCCCATATATTCAATTTTTGTTAAAATCAAACAAAGTTTAATTTTGGACCCTTTGGACCTTAATGTAGACCAATTTGAAAACTAGACCTAAAATTAAAAATCTAAATACATGGTTAGATTCGGCATAACAAATAAATAAATGTGGTCAAAGATTTTACAAATCTAATGCGCCATACTGTGCAATTAAAGATTACTTCTTGAAATTTTTCAATATTTGAATTTGAAAAAAAAAAATATTTGAAGAATAATTCTTTTTAATTTCTGAAATCTGAAATGAGAAAAAATTGACCCCCCACAATTTCTTTTTACCCCCCCCCCCCCCCTTTTTTTCCCCCAAAAAATTCTTTCCCTCAAGATATGGTCATAATCTCAATTCAAATTTCCAATGGAGTTTGCAACCATAATTACCCATTTAAATTTACCATAGTGCTAACGTAATCTATTTTATAATAGAATTTAAAATATAGTGTCATATCTTTCATATGGATTTTTTTGTAAAAAAAACAGATGCAACATTTGCAGATATTTTTACTGGTCTTCCTTTATAAATATGTATTTCTTTAAACATAATTTAAAAGCAGTGTAAGGGAAGTAACCAAAACGTTGTATTTGGATTACCTCCGTTACACTGTTTTAAATTATCTTAATTGTTCATTAACCATTACTTTATACATAATTCAAAAGCAGTGTAAGGGAATTAATTTCAATGATGTATTTGATTTATCTCCCTTACACTGCTTTAAATTATGTTTTGTACTAAAGTATTTGTCCATTAACCAGGACAACCTTGTTTTTCCCCCTTTTTTGCCCCTAATTCCTAAACGGTTTGAGCCATAACCCCCCAAAGCAAATCCTAACCACCCCTTTGTGGTATGGAAACTTGTAGTATAATTTCAGAGAGATCCATACACTGTTCCACAGTTATTGTCTGGAAACTAGAAAATGCTTATTTTTGGCCCCTTATTCCTTAACTGTTGGTACCATAACCCCCAAAATCAATCCCCACCTTCCTTTTGTGGTATTGAACCTTATGGTAAAATTTCAAAGAGATCCATTCACTTAAACTAAAGTTAGAGTGCGAAAACCAATGTGTCTTCGGACGACGACGCCGGACGGCGACGACAACGTCATACCAATATACGACCGTAAAAATTTTTTGCGGTCGTATAAAAATCAGGGACATTTCTCTGATTTAATGTTTTAAATCAAGGGCTGCTTTAGGAGGAAATATTGTTTTAGAGAGATTATAAGAATAAAGAAATCTACTTAGAAAATAGAATTCATACAGACATTAGACATTATTTTATTTTACAAATCATGAGCCCTAATGTCAGGCAAGATACATATTATTGGTGGAGGAAACCAGTCTCCTAAGAGAACCACGGCCTTTGGCAGGAAAAAAGACAAAAGATTAACACCAGGTTTAAATGATGAATTAGAAAAGACTTTTTAAAATTTTGCACCTGAAAAGGTTCACATTTGATATTGTAAATTTGTTCTTGGTGCCACTAAATATGCTTCTAATATTGCCAGTATGGCAGAACTTGGTCGTTACCCAATTTCTATTTGTTATTTAGCAGTCTCTTAAATACTGGCTATATTTGTATAAAGACCCTCTTTTGAATTTTTCAAAATTAGCATACAAGTCAATTGAAGATGTTGATTGTACCTTTCCATGTACCTTTAACAAACACATTTTTCAGTTTCTAAATTTCACTGGTTTTGACCATGTCTTGAATAATAAAGGAACACTGTCAGAAGGAAAACTCATATCTGCAGTGAAAAAAAGATTACAAGAAAGATATGAAAATTATTTTTCTCATGTTTATCAGGTGAAGACCAAAACAAATTACATAATATTACAAGCTAAAAAAGGAATATAAACCTGAGACTTATACAAAGTTGAATATCTCAAAACAATATATTAGACGGTTCTGTAAATTAAGAATTTCTAACCATAATTTACACATCGAAAAAGGAAGATATAATAATATGCCTTTGGATCAAAGAATATGTAAACATTGTATTGATAACAAAATTGAAGATGATTTTCATTTCATATGTGAATGCAACCTCTATCAAGATGATAAGGAAGGGTTTTATGACATTGTTAATATTATACCATGTTTTTGTAATTTAGATAATTTTGATAAATTTAGATATTTAATGAACTGTTCAGAGACTGATGTTCTCAACAGATTTCCTTTATATATAGACAAATGTATCATGATCAGAAATTCATCAGTGGGAATAATTGCATAATATTGATGTGGGTGTTTTGTCTATTGTTTGTTATACATCACAAAATTGCTGTCTCTTTTTTGTTTTATTTTTTCTATGTTTTCATGTATTTCAGCGATGATCCTTTTGTACTGGATTTTATACTGAATAAAATTAGTTAGTTAGTTAGTTAGTTACATAAACATCATAATACAATATGAATGAAAGGATGTGTGGGGTGTACTTCAATTACACAGCAATCCATCGACACAAAAAAAACTTCAAATCATAATTTAACAGACTCAAAGATCTGCCATAATCACCAAATCCTTCATATAAACATCTTACAATAATTCTACAGTATACTGTAGACCAAATTAACTTCCCCTATTACTTATAGTAACTGAAATACCATGAAACTTTCAATGTTGATGAATGAACCATAGAAATGAGGTCAAGGCAATCTGAACTGTCAGAAAATCATATACCATTACACCTTACAATGATTCTGTAGCCCATGGGTAGTTGATCTATTACTAACAAAAATTTAGAAATTGACTTAATCACAAAAACTTAACAATTACCAACATGCCACCTTACAATTATTCTATATAGCAAAGGTATTTGACCCATTGCTGTAATTAAGGTACTTGAAAAATTGAAATGATCACACAGATATAACATTGATCAATGAGGTAAAGGTCAGGAGAACCCCTTAAAAAAGTATTAGAAACTGACCTAATCATGCAAACCTAACCAAACAAAAGCAGCCAATTGGACATGACAATAGAACAATATTTTTATACAACTAACATTGTTAAGCCATTACACTATTTTTTAATCAATTAACCATGCAAACAAGACAAAATGAGTTATCTTGGGAGTTGGGAATACTGATTTTATTTGTATCTCTCAAAGCTTCACTTCTATTTTAATTTTCCTGCCAAAGGCCGTGGTTCTCTTAGGAGACTGGTTTCCTCCACTAATTAAAACTGACCGCCAAGATATATAGCCAATAGTGCTGAAAGTTGCATTAAATACCAATAATCAATCAATGATTCAATCTATTTTCAATGCTGTGACAGGGGAGGAAGACTTTTAAAACAGTTGAAAATCAAAGAGAAACTGGACTGTTGTATGCTCCCTGCATAGCACATGAAGTTGACAGAACAAAATATGAGAGATAAGTTATACAAAATTATTCTGTGCTGGCAAGGCACATAAAATGCCCCTGCATGTGATATAAAATATATGCTGAAACCCTTAAAGAGTAACTTCACAGACAAACCAAACCCTGTTACCTATATTGGAAATTTCCCCAAAACTGACAACTGGTGATTTTGTGAAATCTGTTCTTCAAAATAAAAAGTTTCTACCTTTTAAACGGCACAAAGAGCTTGAAAGACAAACTCTGTCCCTAATATGGGAAAAATGACAAAATATTTGAACAAATTGTTGTTTTGGGGAAAAATTGCATAAAATTTAAATCTTTTAGTATAAGTAGAACTGCTTAAATTTTTTAAAGTTTTTACCTTGTTTATGATCAGTGTGAGACCCTATACCTTTTTATACAGGGACACAGATATCGAGGGGTAAATTACTGCCTCAAAAGTTTTGGCACTGATGAAAATTGATCATTTAACTTGAATTTTCAGAATGGGAACTAGCTTGTGGTATAATCTTCAATAAAAGGTTATGGTAAATAACAAATTTCTTAGACTGTATTGTTACCTTTTTTGTTGAAACTGAATCTCTTGATGGTCTAATGGTACCTAAGGGTCTCAAGTGTGGAAGGTTATGGGTTTGATTCCAGGATGGGAAGATACAAGTCTTCCTGCAGACTGCTTAAATACCTAGTGAACTAGCACATGAAAAATCTTACTCAGCATTTCACTCTGGTACAAAGCCAATTACATGTTAATTACACTTTTACATGTTCTCTTCCTTTGCATGATAAAAATCAATTCACTGTGATCATCAACTTTTGATCTGGATCCACATAGAAAAGAAACATTAGTATTTCAATTGAAATACTTGATTATTTACATATCTATAGCAGAGACAGCCAACATCTAAATTATAAACATATAATACATTTTTTAAAATATCAATGATGCAGAGGCTAACATTCAGTGGAGATTACTGCACTTTGTGAAATAAAACATAAAATATAAAGGAACATAACTAAAGAACGGTAAAAGTGACGCTACCCAAATTTGAATTTGATCTGAGTTTTGTGGTAATAAGCATTGTGTGTAAGTCTCATAACATTTGGTTGAGGCTAACTTAAGTAGAGAACAGAAACTAAAAATTCAGCAATTTTTCTAATTGTAAACACGCATAACTCTAGAATGGTTGTGTATAAGTTTTATAACATTTGGTTGAGACAAACTAAAAAATTCAGCAATTTTTATGTTTATAAAGGGACATAACTCAAGAATGGTAAAAGTGTCGCCACCAAATTTCGTACTTAATCTGTATTATGTAGTAATAAGCATTGTGTATAAGTTTCAAAACATTTGGTTGAGGCAAACTAAAGTTAGAAAACGGAAACAAAAAATTTGTACTTGATCTTAGTTTTGTGGTAATGAATATTGTGTATAGGTTTCATAATGTTTGGTTTGGGCAAACTTAAGTTACAGAATGGAAACTAAAAATTTTGCAATCTTTCGATATATAAAAGGGCATAACTCAATAATGGTTAAAGTGACACTATCCAAATTCAACTTGATCTGTGTTTTATCAGTGGAAGTCAAAATTAAACATTGCATTGTATAAAGCATTGATTGTAGTTGATTCAACTATAATCATGGACAAAGGAAGATAACTCCAATTTTAATAAAATGCTCCGCTGGGCGCAGCTTGATATGACCGCAGAGGTCGAACCCTGAACAGTTGGGGCAAGTATGGACACAACATTCAAGCTTGATACAGCACTGAATTTGGATTGTGATTAAATATTTGACACAGCATAGGTTTTTGACTAAGAATGAATGTGGTCTAAGAACTTAAAAATTTTTAATTTACCTATTCAAACCATATCATTATTATTTGCTTTTATATATAAATCAGAAATAACCACTTTAAAATGGAAAATTTTAAAGAACAAAAAAGGAAAAAAAAATCCCCCCCCCCCCAATTTTTTGAACCCCTTATGATTCATCACCCCTCAACTCAATCACAGCCTTCCCTTTGAGGTATGGTACCTTGCAGTACAATTTCAGAGCAATCCATACACTTGAATACGAGATATTGTCTGGAAACTAGAAAAATGCTTGTTTTTTTGCCCATTTAGGGCAATTACCCCCAAAATCAAACCCAGCTTTCCCTTTGTGATATGGAACCTTGTAGTACAATTTCATAAAGATCCATACACTTACACACAAGTTATTGTCCTGAAACAAGAAAAATGCTTGTTTTTTGCCCCTAATTCCTAAAATTTTGAGGCAATTACCCCCAAAATCAAATCCCAGCCTTCCCTTTGTGGTATGGTACCTTGCAATACAATTTCAGAGAGATTCATACACTTGAACACAAGGTATTGTCTTGAAACTAGAAAAATGCTTATTTTTGGCCCCTTATTCCTAAACGTTTTGGGCAATTACCCCCAAACTCAATTCCAGCTTTCCCTTTGTGATATGGAACCTTGTAGTACAATTTCAGAAAGATCCATACACTTACACACAAGTTATTGTCATGAAACTAGAAAAATGCTTGTTTTTTGTCCCCTAATTCCTAAAATTTTGAGGCAATTACCCCCAAAATCAATCCCAGCATTCCCTTTGTGATATGAAAACTTGTGGTACAATGTCAGAGAGATCCATACACTAACACACAAGTTATGTCTGGAAGTTACAAAAATGCTTATTTTTGGCCCCTTATTCCTTAACTGTTGGTACCATAACCCCCAAAATCAATCCCAACCTTCCTTTTGTTGTATTGAACCATATGGTAAAATTTCATAGAGATCCATTCAGTTAAACTTAAGTTAAGAGTGCGAAAACCAATGCGTCTTCGGACAATGACGACGCCAAAGTCATACCAAGATACGACCGCAAATTTTATTTTGCGGTCGTATAAAAATAACTTAATATTTAGATGAAAATAAAAATTTTGCAATTTTTGCCATTTATAAAGGGGCATCACTCTAGAACGGTTAAAGTGATGCCACCAAAATTCAAACTAGATCTGTGTTTTGTGGTAATAAGCATTGTGTATAAGTTTCATAACATTTGGTTGAGGCAAACTCAAGTTAGAGAATGGAAACCAATTTTGGGACGTATGGACGGACCTACGGACGTACGTACAGACGGATAAGGGTAAAACTTAATGCCCCCATCACTACGGCTGGGGCATAAAAAATAATGGGTAAAGTTAATTAATAAATACATGTATGTGAAAAGTTTGAACTGTAAGAACTTTCAAATATTATGAATATTCAGATATTTTACAGTCAAAAGACAGCTAATTGAATTTTTTCTTCAAAATGTGACAAAATTTAAATATTTTGGCACCTTTCTAAACGGGAAATATTATGCAAAAGCAAATATCACACAAATAATTATATGAGTGGTGTTTCTCATACATACAAACATCAGTTATTTATTTAGTTTGTACTAGGATGCATTCTATCTTTGCGAGTCAGACTACTTTAAAATGGACCAAAAGCTATGATTTTTTCATGAAAAAATTCGTAAGGGTTCCGCGGAACCCAGTGTCTCGCCTACTTTTTGCTGTTAATCACAGGCTCAGCAAAAATGAGGAAAAAAATTAATAAAAATATTCCTCTCTATACTATCTTTTGATTGTAAGTAGCTTCTGTCCAAGTTTGGTAAAAATCCAGGATAGTTTATGAATCTAATAAATGTTTTAAAAACTTAAACTGCAGACTGTATGTAATGTTAACTGGAAGAAAAACTAAGTCCATTTATAAGTAAAATACGGAAAAAATGGAACAAAATTTCCTTCTAGATACTAGCTTTTGATCATAAACAAGCTTCTGTCTAAGTTTGGTACAAATCCAGGATAGTTTAAGAAAGTTGTTAAAATTTTAAAAACTTTAACCACAGAGTGAATGTAATGTTAACTGGCAGAAAAACTAAGTCCATTTATAAGTAAAATACGGAAAAAATGGAATTTTTTTTTTACAAAATTTACTTCTGGATACTAGCTTTTAATCATAAACAAGCTTCTGTCCAAGTTTGGTACAAATCCAGGATAGTTTAAGAAAGTTGTTAAAATTTTAAAAACTTTAACCACAGAGTGAATGTAATGTTAACTGGCAGAAAAACTAAGTCCATTTATAAGTAAAATACGGAAAAAATGGAATTTTTTTTTTTACAAAATTTACTTCTGGATACTATCTTATGATCATAAACAAGCTTCTTTCCAAGTTTGGTAGAAATCCAGGATAGTTTAAGAAAGTTAAGAAAGTTATTAAAATTTTAAAAACTTTAACCACAGAGTGAATGTAATGTTTCCTGGCAGAAAAACTAAGTCCGTTTATAAGTAAAATACGGAAAAAATGGAATTTTTTTTTTACAAAATTTACTTTTAAATATTATCTTATGATCATAAACAAGCTTCTGTCCAAGTTTGGTAGAAATCCAGGATAGTTTAAGAAAGTTATTAAAATTTCAAAAACTTTAACCACAGAGTGAATATTTGTGGACGCCGCCGACGACAACGACGACGCCGACGGAATGTAGGATCGCTATGTCTCGCTTTTTCGACAAAAGTCGAAGGCTCGACAAAAATGTAGAAGGGACTTCTCCATGACCTCAAAACTTATTTATTGGGATGTTATGGACCATAAACCATTAGTTTGAATTTTGTAATACCTCAACTTTAAAATAGGCATAAATGTATATCTTAAATGATCATTTTAAATTTCACTGAATGTTTTTGTATGTGTCCATTTGTCAAGTTTAGTGAATAACTTGACAGTGTAGTTAAATGTGTATTTTCCATGAAGCAAATAAGCAATATATGTGAAATAATATATTAAAATTCCTTTATTAATTATAGACATGAGTGTAATGACAGTATCTCATAATTTACATCACTGGAGATTTATACAGTGATGTTAATAGCATATAAAAAATAATAATAGCAGTTGAAACTTAAATATCAATAATACCTACATGTGTTAACTGACATACAATTTAGTTCTCATTGGTAACAATGAACACAGACCTGCCATAATTTGCTTTGTTTAACCAAGTTAATGTCATACTAATGTAAGGATTACAGAATCAAATTATTATGAATTATTCATTCTTAATCTAGTAAAATTTCATCATAAAGGTTCAGTCTAAAATCAGTTCAAATTTTTTAATCTGTAAAACAAAACATAATGCTTTGATGCAAAATGAATTTTCTGTTTATAACTAAGCTTAAACGGCCTTCAAAATATATTCAGATTTGTCTTTGTTTATGTAACCCATGACAAATTAACACAGAAATCTCCAAAAATTATACCCAACTATTACCCAAAAAAAAAGCAATAAAAAAGCTTTGCATTAAGAAATTAATTTCTTTAAATAGTTAAGTAATCAAATGATGTTACAGCATTTTTTCAAATTAGAGTCCTTGGAGCTTGTCATTACCACATCTGACAACGTGTCATTGGATTACACTACTTCAATGAAGATGGATCAGTTATATAAAAATAATGTGCAGCTTGAAAATTAGGTAGATGATGCATAAAGCAGTCATCAATTGGTCATTTAAAATATGAATTAAGTGTTCTTATTTCATTTCCATTATTTCAGCATTAATGAAATGTCTACATTCAAAACGCAAGACCACATAGTAATCTGAGAAAGAAATCTTGAATACTGTATCACTTCCTCAAAAAATAATTAGGAATTTTTTTCTTTTGCTGTGAACACTACAAACAATGTAATGACAAATGAAATGGTTCAAAAAATGAAAATCTTTATGGAAATGTAATAAAAAAAGCTTGGCTATAGAAAACTATAAATAAAAAGCTCAAATTACCTAATCAATTTTACATTATTGATGCCCATCATCCATTTTTGGATTAATTATTGAATTTATGGATTGTATTTCACAAGTTTACCAATGTTTTCTTTCTCTAGAGTCTAACAACTACCAATGCAGATAAAATCAAAACAGGCAACAATTAAATTGGATCTTTTTGGGGAATAGAATATATGTATGTCAAACTCATCATAATTTGTGTCCCCCTTTCTGTTTCCATGGGAGACAGCTCCATAATTTACATATCCCTTTGTACAAGAATATAGAATACACAAAATGATAATGATTCATTAAAATTACAAGCAGACCATAAGTTATATTGTGTTGTTCTTTCAGACTCTTCGTGCGTCATATTAAAATAATCATAGACTTAAAATTTAATGGAAAATATCAGTTTATCCTACACAATTTCAAACCTACAACCATTCTTGTCTAAAAAATACATGTTGTGCATAGGTTGACAGCTGGCTAGTAAATGCCATTCAAAGTCTGATAATCTAAATAACTCTTTCTTTTAACGTATAAGAGTGGATTATCAATGAATATATTCTTTTTTTAATTTTTAAATAATTTTACTTTTCAAATAATGTTGCATAAGAATCATCATTAAGAAAATCACTTATGATAAACAAAAATACAAAATTTCAACGTAACAAAATGATAGAATAAAATTTCATCACTTAGACATATTCTGCATGATATTGATGACTATCTGTAAAATGATCAAGTGTACATACCAAGTTTCATAACATTACAGCCCAAATATCACAGCAAATAATAAACAAGTCTTCTGGTTGAAAAATATTTGATGTTTTCTATTCAGTATTTTAGTTATTTTGTAAATGCTTATACTATGTTAGTTTATATATATATCAAATATACATATCTACATATGAACATCATAAAAAGATGTATTTCATTGTTTCCACATTTCATCAAGATGGCCATTTCATCAACAAATTGTCTCTTCCTTTTTTAGTTACAAAAATAAACAGGGAATAGAAACTTCAGAGTAGAATACATTAGTTTTAAATACCCTTATCAAAATGTATTCACTTATCATAGATCATCCAGGTTGGATCATAACCTTTCACTTATATGTGTTACTATTGTCTTTAATTGATAGAGACTTTTGCATCACTGTTTTGCAGTAAAACCAGTAAAACATTAATAAACCAGTTACATAATAATTCTTATCAATGGGAACAACATGCAATCTTCTTTTCAGGTATTACAGGAAATTTCAAAGGCTATTATGTTGTACAGTGAAACCTCTCAAAACCGGCCGCCCATTGGACCACGGAAAACACCCTTTTTGCGGGGGTGGTCGGTTTGTGGAAAATTGAAATCATCAAGAGTTACTTCCCTTCATTATGTGTTTTGAGTATATTTGAAAATGTATTTTACTTTAATCAAAATATAAGTTTTCCTCTGTGAATTTTAGTTGTGTATATCATATGTGTCATAAAATACATCTACAACTTCTATTCTATAATAAATTATTTTTTTTTATTTTGCAGAAAATAAATAAAATATACCATACTTTAATGGTATTTCTTTAACAGTTTATCAAAATGTTCTACCAATTAATACTGTAAATTCAGAAATTATTGCGAGGTTTTTATTAATGCGAATAATGCGACTGGTTGAGTAACGCAATAATAAGAAATCGCATTCCGAAATCTTATACACATATCTTTATGCAGATGATTCTGAATTCGCAATAATTAATCTCGCATTTTTGTCTCTTCCTCTAAAATCGCAATAATAAATGCACGCAATAATTTCTGAATTTACAGTAGTAACATGTAATAACATTTGTAAATATCTTAATTTGTCATAGCATAAATAGCTTGGGTAATGAAATAAATGTGACAGGTGAACAGTAATCAGTCGGTCGGCATGACTGTAGGTATCTGGTTTAAAGGGTGGCCTGTTTTATAAGGTTATATGACCATTTAATTGAACACAAATCGACCGGGACTTCTTGATCTGGCCTGTAAAACTAAATACCAATAAGTAAAAATATCCTTACATTTGTTGTAAACATGATTTTGGATATAAATGAAATCAGTTTTGAAGCAGTTATTATATAAAGTAGACTTTTGCAAATATTTCAACCGAGCTGGCATACAGTGTATATATCTACTTGATATCAACATGAACTTATGTATGGTGTATTAAGTAAACAATGAAAATATAAACTTCTCATTTTGTAAAAACTCTGAACTTCAGAATTCGGTTCAGCATCTTTATACAATTTTGGATTTAATTTTGTTTATCCTACATTATACTTTCCTGAAGAAAAAAATTATGATGAACAGTTGTAATGTTATATTTGGCTTCTGAACATAGTATTAACAAACAATGGTCAGTATAATATACCAGATGAAGATAAATTTAATATTTTACAATTTATTACTAAATTTTTTTTGAAGTGACAAACATATTAGAGATTTCAGAACTTAATATGTTTGAAAGCAATATGATAAGTTATTTAAGGAAAGAAATGTGTGAAAGGGCTGGAAGGCACTAGTTCATATCTTTAATATGTAAGATTTCCATTACATATAATATGCATTCCAAGATTAGTTGGTTCAAGAGGACTTTAAACCTTGTCCCACCTTTTCCTAATAATTTTCAGGAATAGCTCAAATTTTTAGTGTGTTCTTTCAATAAAGATTTTACCAATTTGAAAATTTGGAAATGTTTGTGAAAAAATTTTCCCTCACAGCTTTAAAAAAATATATATATATTAACAAGCACATAATTTTTCATTAAAATATTACATACATCTATGCCTGACAAATCAATCATTAGAATAGCATTGCAGAGTACAATGTTCATATCTGCACATATTATACATGAATACATTAAACATTCTAAATCAACAAAATCTGCTTGTAAGTCAAATTGAAAATTATATTGTAGTCAAAAACTGCTAACAGAATTAAATGCAAATTTTTCAAGCAACAGTTATAGCATGTATAGTGTGAATTTAGATTAGTGTCAATAACAATATATTGTTCTGCCTTATGCAGCATTATACTTCCATTAAAACATACATTGTTACCAGTGGATGCACATCAAATAGGGGAACCACCTAAGGAGGCAATTTTTGAATTTCACTTATATTTTCATAATACATGAGAGTATTTTGACACCAGCAGATAGTTTAGATTTTGAAACTGTCTTCCCATATTTATATTTGAATGGAAAAGCCCTACATTGTATTTGGAATCTTTTGCATTATATAGAAAATCATGTTGTAACGGTTTGTAAGGAGAAATGTTGGTAATGCAAATTTTGAATCCCAATGTTTTTTCATTTAGTGACGCAAAATCAGACCCAATTTGCACATTTATTAAATGCTGAATTTAGGACATATATAGTCCTGACATATGAAAATAGGAAAGCTGTCAGGAATACTATCAAACATCTTAAGCAATAGTTTGTATAGTTACATTTTTACAGTAAGATGGTCTATAAATAAGAAAAACATACCATCATATTTTCAAGTTTGCCTTTTATAAACTTCTTAATTTTCAGCCCTAAATTTCCTATCCCTGTTGGAAAATATTGGTCAGTTCTTAAGGGGCATTAGCTGTCAAATTCATGTTCACCGATTTGACTCAAATTCTCATATTTCGTGTGTATTTTAGTCTAGACGCCACCTATTTATTCATCAAGGTGACCCCTGAAGACTGCCAACAGTCATATAACCGATATAAACATAAATATAGATATAAATAGATAGCAAACTCATGCTATTGGATTTTTCTAGGTCTGTTTGATTTCATATTATAGGTTAAAAATATATGTTAATCATCGTTTTTACCTGTATAAGAATGAGCTTTTGTGGATCGAATCAGTCAATCAAATGGTTTAACCTTGTTTCACTTTCAGTGTTAACATTCTATTCCTTTTAATAACTGAACACGCCTAATTCATGCGTAACCCATCTTTAGCTAAGGGGTTAAATTGAAGGTCACATGAATACGGATTCAATGAGGTCGAATTATTCACTTGCAAGTAAATAATTCATCAGTGATGTTTCTTAGCTTATTTTGACAAAATGGAACCAAATTGGATGCTAAAAGCGAATTATCATTTCACTATTTCACTTTCATTAATGATTGCACCAAAAAAAAATAATCATATTTTATTTTTTTTATATCTTGTAGCTAATGCCCCTTTAATACTTTTAAGCATTTCAATCTTTGCATAATTATTGCACTGTATATTTTTTCAAGATAGAAAAATGAAGTTGGAAAATAGCAAAATCTAAAGACAAGTAATTTTATCACCCATTTCTGAAGTATAACAAGTGGACAAAATCTTCGGACTATAGTATACAATGTTTGCAACATTTAGCGTTTTGTTCATATGTCATATACCATTACATACCATTCAAATTCTTAAAAGATTTATATTTTTAGAAAGTCTAGCAACCAGTGTGGTGTTTTAAAAATACCAAGTACCAAAGATTACTGATTTAGTTATATTGTGAAAGAAATGCTTTATGTAAAGTAATTTTATGAACCTTCTGAAACAGATATGATAGTAATATAAATACAGTTTTCACATCTCATTGCTAAGCTGTCATATTAATCATAAGTTTTTAAAATAAAATAAGCATGACAACTGCTTTTAGAAACATTTGACAAGGTCATTTCTGTCACCATGTAAATGACAAAACAGTAAGATGATTAATGTAAGAACTGTTCTCTGATGGAATAAAGAAGGTACCAGTATAAACTGATACCATTAGAGCACTGTTGGTTACTATCAACAACAGCCACCTGATGATTGCTTTTTTGTAGTCATATCTACTCCTTGTCTTGGTTCCATTTCTCTGCCAGGTGTCTAAAGAAATATTAAATTCAAAAATGAGTAAATAATCAAATAATAATGATGGTGGTTAATTAGTTCCATGTAGTGTATTTCATAGGCATTTTATTAACTTTTATAAATCAAATGTGTTTCTATTATGTGTAAGTATTTTAAAATCTATCAAAACCAAGAAAAACATTTTTTTCCAAGTAAAAGCTCATGTTAAGATAGTCATTTTATTGCTGTTTTAATCTGTTTTTTTGTTTGTTTTGAGTTGTCTCCAATTTTCAAGAATGAATACAAGATAAAATAACAATTACACAGACATACATTAATATGCTTTTTCATTTTTATGTTCAACAAGCATTCTGAGAGTATTGCATGGCAATACATAGTCCCCTCCCGGTTAAAAATTCATAGTCTGGAACAAAATGCTAACTTGATCTACAACTTATCATGGTGTAAACTATATAACAAATATCAAGTCATCAAGCATGACGAAAAAAAGTGTGGAAAACTGATTATTTGAGTGAAGGACCATAACTCTGAACAAATTCATCAGAACGGAACAAAAGTCAAACTTGATCTGTAACTTGTCATGACAAAACTATACACCAATTATCAATTCAATATGTTCAAGCATGACCAAAAAAAAAAGGACAGAAAACTGATTATTCGGGTGAATTTTCTAAATCCAAGGACCATAACTCTGCACAAAATCATCAGACCGGAACAAAATTCGAACTTGATCTGTCAATTGTCATAATAAAACTATATACAAATTATCAAATCAATATCTTCAAGCATGATAAAAAAAAGTGTGGAAAACTGGTTATTTGAGTGAATTTTCTAAGTCCAAGGTCCATAACTCTGAAAAAAATCATCAGACCGGAACAAAATTTGAACTTGATCTGTAACTTGTCATGATTAAACTGTATACCAAATATCAAATTAATATCTTCAAGCATGAAGAAAAAAAGTACAGATAACTGATTTGCCGGACTGACGGATGGACAGAGTGCAAACCTAAAGTCTCCTTCAACTTCGTCGGTAGGGGACTAATAAATACAAAGATGTCATTTTCCAGGTCAATGGTATAAACATTTCGTATGAGCTAACTGACATTAAAACAATGTATAAATGATAAACCCATGGAGGGTATTCAACAGTTTGCATTTAATTTCAACTGATCTTGTCCATATTTCTTTAAACAAATTTCCAAAAGCTAGCAGTACTTAAATTTTAATTACAAGAAATCAGCTGTAAAATTATCCGCAAACAGGGATTTCTGTATTTTGAAGGCACTTTCTATTTTGTTTGACCTGCCGAGTTCTTTGCCTTCAATATGATGTTTAAACTCCATTTTGTTATCAGTAACATACATATTAAAATTTGAAAAGCATTGGTGGAATGGTTCATATGTTATTGCATGGAAATGACATAAAGTGCCAATTTCCAATCTATCAAGGACCATAACTTCTGAACAATAAAGGTGAAAATCTTCAATATTGAACTTGACCTCCATTTTGTCGTCAGTAACAAACATATTAAAATTTGAAACGCATTGGTGGAACGGTTCATAAGTTGTTGCACTGAAACTGTTGGCAGCCTTTTCCTGCTTGCAGTACTTCACCAACTTAAAAACTAGATTTTTCCTACAGAAAACCTTGTTAAAAATGCCCACTTCAATCCTCCTAATTAAGCTTTTGAATCATCCTATAAACTACTTTAATACCTTGTTCAAAATTGCTTGTGCTAGGTCCATAAATGCTTTTTCTACATTTACATTAGCTTTAGCACTAGTTTCTAAGAATGGTACACCATGTTCTTTTGAAATCTGAAAATAACCATTAGGAATTAAAATAAAATGTTCTGCTGGGCGCAGCTTGATACGACCGCAGAGGTCGAACCCTGAACAGTTGAGGCAAGTATGGACACAACATTCAAGCTTGATACAGCACTGAATTTGGATTGTGATTAAATATTTGACACAGCACAGGTTTCTGACACAGAATGAATGTGGTCTAAGAACTTAAAAAATTTTTATTTACCTATTCAAACCATATCATTATTATTTGCTTTTATATATAAATCAGAAATAACCAATTTAAAATAGAAATTTTAAAGAAAAAAAAATCCCCCCCAAATTTTATGAACCCCCTTATGATTCATCACCCCCAAACTCAATCCCAGCCTTCCCTTTGTGGTATGGTACCTGCAGTACAATTTCAGAGAGATCCATACACTTGAACACAAGTTATTGTCTGGAAACTAGAAAAATGCTTGTTATTTGGCCCCTTTTTGGCCCCAAATTCCTAAACGTTTACTGAAATTACCCACAAACTAAAACCCAGCTTTCCCTTTGTGATATGGAACCTTGTAGTACAATTTCATAAAGATCCATACACTTGAACACAAGTTATTGTCTGGAAACTAGAAAAATGCTTATTTTTGGCCCCTTATTCCTAAAATTTGGAGGCAATTACCCCCAAAATCAATCCCAGCCTTCCCTTTGTGGTATGGTACCTTGCAGTACAATTTCAGAGAGATCCATACACTTGAACACAAGTTATTGTCTGGAAACTAGAAAAATGCTTATTTTTGGCCCCTTATTCCTAAACGTTTTGGGCAATTACCCCCAAACTCAATTCCAGCTTTCCCTTTGTGATATGGAACCTTGTAGTACAATTTCAGAAAGATCCATACACTTACACACAAGTTATTGTCATGAAACTAGAAAAATGCTTGTTTATGCCCCTTTTTTGGCCCCTTTTTCCTATAATTTTGAGACAATTACCCCCAAAATCAATCCCAGCATTCCCTGTGTGATATGGAACCTTGTGGTACAATTTCAGAGAGATCCATATACTTGAACACAAGTTATTGTCTGGACACTAGAAAAATGCTCATTTTTGGCCCCTAATTCCTAATATTTTTAGGCAATTACCCCCAAAATCAATCCCAGCATTCCCTGTGTGATAAGGAACTTTGTGGTACAATGTCAGAGATCCATACACTAACACACAAGTTATGTCTGGAAGTTACAAAAATGCTGATTTTTGGCCCCTAATTCCTTAACTGTTGGTACCATAACCCCCAAAATCAATCCCAACCTTCCTTTTGTGGTATGGTAAAATTTCATAGAGATCCATCCACTTAAACTAAAGTTAGAGTGCGAAAAAACAATGTGTCTTCGGACAACGCCGGACGACGACGACGCCAACGTCATAACAATATAGGACCGCAAAATTTTTTGCAGTCGTATAAAAATAGATCTCCCATCTTTGAAACACAACAGAAATTCATTTAAGTTTTCCAAATGGTCAAACTGAATCTTTTGATATGTGCTCAACTAGAATGTTTACTGAGTTGAACTAAATCTAAGATTATGATTTAGTTATTGTGAAAAATCCATTAAATTCACACTTATTCTGCAACTTTTCTTGTACTGATGAATGAGATTAAGCTAAAAGTAAAGATATGTGTGCTTTTTAATAGCTCCTTGAAATTATAACTTGGATTTTTTTAATTACCTCTTCCTGCATGTGAAATAATATTAACATTCTGATATCTTTAAACCAATAACAATCAAAGAATGAAGAAAAGTGCATTTTTATCAGCTTCTTTCAGCAATATTAGCTGAACCATTTTACTAAACATTTTTATATTTACTTATAGAAGATTTATTCCTTTTCTTCATTTTACATTGTAATCAATATCAATCATTTGATAACCTTTAAAGACTGTGTCAGATTCTATCTTTATCAATATTGCCAATGCAGCACCCTAGTTTCATCTCATTTAGTTTTTACTGTGTCATATATGTGATAAACTGTAAAAAATCATTTGTAACAGTGTAAATGAGAATCAGTGTATTTTACTGTAATACTACTTACAGCATCTCCTCTATCTTTTGACACTTGTCTCTTACTATCCATGTCACACTTATTTCCCAAAATCATTTTTTCTACATCTTCATTTGCATGCTGTAAAATAGAAAACAAATATTGAAGTTATTTAAGAAATGATAATGTGATAGGGCAATCTATTTTTTTGTTGTTGTTGTACACATATAACACTTACTAAAAAATGTTATCATTATAATATTTTGACTGTTTTTTTATCTATTTTTAGTCTTGGCAATGATTTATAATGCTTTTTTTAATACATTGTTTACAATAAAGCACCAAACTAAAATGTTTACATATTCAAATAAACTATTAACACAGAGATATGCCTTGCCTTTGTGTTGTTTTGTTGGTAAACGCAAATGTTGAAATTAAAATAGCAATACTTTAACATGTAAGTTATGGAGCCAAACAATCTCCATCGAAATGAGATGTGCCAATGCTAAAACAACTGCATACCAAATATCATTGACCTACTACTAATGGTTCCCCATAAACTGACCTAATCACAATCTAATAAATGTAAACTAAGCAAAAGTTTCAAAGTCAATAGACCATGACCGAGGGGGCAGGTCCTAATAATTTCCATGGAAATGAGATGTGCTAACGATAATACGACTGCATACCATATACCATTGACCTAGCACTAGTGGTTTCAAATTCTTTTCCTTGTTTGCAAAAGAATATTTATCAAACAATAACAAAATAAATGGGGAATATTAATGTGTCCATGGGACACAGATGATGCCCCCGCTTGCATATCATATAAAGTTATAAAGGGACATAACTGAAGAATGGTAAAAGTGACACTACCCAAATTTGTACTTGATCTGAGTTTTGTGGTAATAAGTATTGTGAATAAGTTTCATAACATTTGGTTGAGGCAAACTTAAGTTAGAGAACGGCATAACTCTAGAACAGTAAAAGTGACACCATCAAAATTCAAACTTGATCTGTGTTTTGTGGTAATAAGCATTGTGTATAAGTTTCATAACATTTGGTTGAGGCAAACTAAAGTTAGAGAACGGAAACGAAAAATTCAGCAATTTTTCCATTTTTAAAGGGGCATAACTCTAGAACAGTTAAAGTGACACCACCAAAATTCAAACTTGATCTGTGTTTTGTGGTAATGGTTGAAGCAAACTAAAGTTAGAGAACAGAAACCAACTTCAGGATGTACGTACGTACAGACAAGGGTAAAACTTAATGCCCCCTCCGCTACGGCCGGGGAATAAAAATATATATAAACTCTTGTCCACTTACAAATATTTTTTAGCAAACTTAGTATGAGAAATTAGGGTTGTATAAGGCAATAAAAAATTGAAATGGGTGCATTTATTTGTGTATAATTATGATGAGTAGTAAATGTATGTACATGATGTATGACATGTATGAGAAGCAATATTAAACAAAAATTAATGATTGTAAAATGAATATTAAAGGAGTACTGAAATTTTTTCTACACATGTACTTCAATCCATTACAGTTTTTTTTTCAATCCTTCAATATAAAATTTTCACACAGAACCATGAGAATTTTCCTATAATTATAACAATAATATTTCCTCTTACCTCATCAATATTTCGTAACCATTTAGTAATATTTTCAAAAGTTTTATGATTTGTTATGTCATAGACTAGCATAATTCCCATTGCTCCTCTGTAATAGGATGTGGTTATTGTGTGAAATCGTTCCTGACCAGCGGTGTCCCTAAAATAAAAAAAAAATAAGACATACATTTACCATAAATCAAAGAGCTGAAAGCTCTAAGTAATAAAATGCTTCGCTGGGCGCAGCTTGATACGACCGCAGAGGTCGAACCCTGAACAGTTGGGGCAAGTATGGACACAACATTCAAGCTTGATACAGCTCTGAATTTGGATTGTGATTAAATATTTGACACAGCATAGGTTTCTGACACAGAAAGAATGTGGTCTAAGAACTTCAATTTTTTTAATTTACCTATTATGGTCCAATGTCCAAAATCAAAATACATGGTTAGATTCAGCATATCAAAGAACCCCATATATTCAATTTTTGTTGAAATCAAACAAAGTTTAATTTTGGACCCCAACTTGGACAAACTTGAAAACTGGTCCCATAATCAAAAATCTAAACACATGTTTAGATTCAGCATATCAAAGTACCTGAAGAATTCAATTTTTGTTAAAATCAAACTAAGTTTAATTTTGGACCCTTTGGACCTTAATGTAGACAAATTTAAAAAACGGGACCCAAAATTAAAAATCTAAAAACACGGTTAGATTTGGCGTATCAAAGAACCCCAATAATTCAATTTTTGATGGAATCAAACAAAGTTTAATTTTGGACCCTTTTGACCTCAATATGAACCAATTTGATAGCGGGCCCACAAATAAAAAATCTAAATACATGGTAAGATTCAGCATATCAAAGAACCCCATATATTCAATTTTTGTTGAAATCAAACAAAGTTTAATTTTGGACCCCAATTTGGACCAACTTGAAAACTGGGCCAAAAATCTAAAATCTAAATACACGTTTAGATTCAGCATATCAAAGAACCCCATATATTCAATTTTTGTTGAAATCAAACAAAGTTTAATTTTGGACCCCAACTTGGACCAACTTGAAAACTAGTCCCATAATCAAAAATCTAAACACATGTTTAGATTCAGCATATCAAAGAACCCCAAAAATTCAATTTTTGTTAAAATCAAACTAAGTTTAATTTTGGACCCTTTGGACCTTAATGTAGACCCAATTTAAAAAACAGGACCCAAAATTAAAAATCTAAATACACAGTTAGATTTGGCATATCAAAGAACCCCAAATTGGCCCAATAATTCAATTTTTGATGAAATCAAACAAAGTTTAATTTTGGACCCTTTTGACCTCAATATGAACCAATTTGATAGCCGGCCCACAAATAAAAAATCTAAATACATGGTAAGATTCAGCATATCAAAGAACCCCATATATTCAATTTTTGTTGAAATCAAACAAAGTTTAATTTTGGACCCCAATTTGGACCAACTTGAAAACTGGGCCAAAAATCTAAAATCCTAATACATGTTTAGATTCAGCATATCAAAGAACCCGATATATTCAATTTTTGTTGAAATCAAACAAAGTTTAATTTTGGACCCCAACTTGGACCAACTTGAAAACTGGGCCCATAATCAAAAATCTAAACACATGTTTAGATTCAGCATATCAAAGAACCCCAAGAATTCAATTTTTGTCATAATCAAACTAAGTTTAATTTTTGACCCTTTGGACCTTAATGTAGACCAATTTAAAAAACGGGACCCAAAATTAAAAATCTAAATACACGGTTAGAGTCGGCATATAAAAGAACCCCAATAATTCAATTTTTGATGAAATCAAATAAAGTTAAATTTTGGACCCTTTGGACCTCAATGTGGACCAATTTAAAAATGGGGCCCAAAATCCAAAAACTTAATACACGGTTAGATTCAGCATATTAAAGAACCCCAAGAATTCAAGAATAAAACCCCATTGAAATTGATCAAGAAATAAGCAATTTATACGAAGTATCTTCTTTTGCACAATACTGTGCAATTGAATATTTCTTGCTATTGCGCAATACTGTACAATTGACAATTTCTTGCTATTGCGCAATATTGTGCTATTGGATATTTCTTGCTATTGCGCAATACTGTGCAATTGAAGATTTCTTGCTATTGCGCAATACTGTGCAATTGAAGATTTCTTGCTATTGTGCAATACTGTGCAATTGAAAATTTCTTGCTATTGCACAATACTTATTATATAATAATTTACACATCCTGTTTGGTGTGTATCTCCTACCATATCATTATTATTTGATTTTAAATATAAATCAGAAATAACCAACTTAAAATGGAAAATTTTAAAAGAAAAAAAAAAGGAAAAAAAAAAAAAAAAAAAAAAAAAAAAATCACCCCCCCAAATTTTTTGAACCCCCTTATGATTCATCACCCCCAAACTCAATCCCAGCCTTCCCTTTGTGGTATGGTACCTTGCAGTACAATTTCAGAGAGATCCATACACTTGAACACAAGTTATTGTCTGGAAACTAGAAAAATGTTTATTTTTGGCCCCTTTTTGGCCCCCAATTCCTAAACGTTTCGGGCAATTACCCCCAAACTCAATTCCAGCTTTCCCTTTGTGATATGGAACCTTGTAGTACAATTTCAGAAATATCCATACACTTACACACAAGTTATTGTCATGAAACTAGAAAAATGCTTGTTTTTTGCCCCTTTTTTGGCCCCTAATTCCTAAAATTTTGAGGCAATTACCCCCAAAATCAATTACAGCCTTCCCTTTGTGATATGGAACCTTGTGGTACAATGTCAGAGAGATCCATACACTTACACACAAGTTATTGTCTGAAAGTTACAAAAATGCTTATTTTTGGCCCCTTTTTGGCCCCTAATTCCTGAACTGTTGGTACCATAACCCCCAAAATCAATCCCAACCTTCCTTTCGTGGTATTGAACCTTATGGTGATATTTCATGGAGATCCATTCACTTAAACTAAAGTTAGAGTGCGAAAACCAATGTGTCTTCGGACGACGCCAGACGACGCCGGACGACGACGACGACGACGACGACGACGACGACGACGCCAACGTCATACCAATATACGACCAAAAAATTTTCAATTTTTGCGGTCGTATAAAAATGACGCCATTGTCTCTCATATTAGGATATTTTTGATGCAAGTCTTGATTTTTACTTAATTTACCTACTGAATCTTAGGCGACGTTCAGTTTATGGTAGGTAGGGTAACTGATAGAATAGATATGAATTGTTTCCACAATCTATAGCGTTTTTATTTGTTTGTCAAGATATATATATATGTGTGTGTGAAGTGAAAATAACTACTAGTTGTTCTGCTGTACATAGAAATAGCTCAAGACTACCTGAACAATCTACAATATTCAAAGTAATATGTGAATTTGTTTCCCTTATTTGTAGAATTATTTAACAAAATGATTATGAAGAGCCTGTAGTAAGAAAGCTCTTATACCAAACATAGTCCTTATTCAAGAGATAAGTTACAGGTGACCTAGTGACATAATCACATTGTTATTTCAGTTACCTAAACATGATCAATTTTAAGTAGATTTAGACAATAGTATTGTTATACTAGTTTCACAATTACAAACAAAGTGACACCATTTATACAACTTTATTTCATTGTGAAGAGCCTGTAGTAATCAAGCTTACACTGAAATCTTAAAATAACAACATAAATTATTGCAAAATTATTTTTTTTCAAATGATTTAATGTTTAGTACCGTAGTCATTTATTTCAAATAATTCACCTGTAATAAAATAAGGAGATGGGGTGTGATTGCCAATGAGATAACAGTCTGAGGTACTATCTACCAGAGTCCAAATTATGTGGCTGTTGGCAGTTATAAGTCACTTTCAGACCTCAACAATGTACCAAACCGGTTTATTGTTTTCGTGTACCACAAGAAAAAGAGGAGTTGTGGCCAGGTGCTGCCAGGATTTAAAACTATTAGAATTACACAGTTTTGTCTGCATTCAGAGAAAATTTCATGGTGTAAACACAGCTATTTTTGTTGGTGTATATTAGATGAACCTTAAAGGTGGATTATCAGATTATTGGTCCCAGGAATATTAAAGTGATTGTTGATTTTTCAAAAATAAAAATATGCACAAAGAAGGAAATATATCTGATTCCTTGTGAAAATTAAAAGATAGAACATTGTACTTTAATGGATTTGGTAATTTAATTTCAAGAATGACAACATGTATGATCTGTTACCATAAGTGTAAAGCTACTGTTTATTATGTTTATGGTTGAACTGCATCTTTGAACTTTGTCAACCAGTCATGATTTACTTCTTAAGCTGTGTAAGAACCTTTTTGTAATTGAAAATTGGTCTGCCATGATCACGATTTCTACATTATTCTGAGTTCCTGACAAGTTCAAAATTTAGCACATATGCAGTTTACAATACCCAAAGATCAGGAGAAACAACGATTTTGATTGGCTGATCACAGTTGTCTCCCTTGGGAAAAGTTTGAGAAAGTTTGAATTTGGGAACAGTAGAATTTAACAAAATCGTGGTTTAGAGGACTCGATCACAATCGCGCAATCGTGACAAGGGGTCAAACTTGAGTATTTCACGCCTGAATCGTGCAAGTTGGCAGGTATGACAGGTTAAGAAATTAAAGAATGAAAATTACAAATTTAAGTCTGTTCCAGTTGTATTTCCAACAAGATGATTGAAAATTGCCCGACGGTCACGAAGGTTAATGACCGCCATTTTGTACACAACAAAACATATTGAAGGGAGACAACACCATCTGTTATTTTAAAATGTACATTTGCAACGCTGGAGTTGTCTTTCTTTTACCAATGTATGAGCATACGAACATTCACTTTAAGTATGTAAAATACGGAACCGAGTTCCGAATGCGGATTAGAAGTCTGGTCAATGGTATGAGAAAATTGACTGCGTCATTTTCTAAAAACAGATGGTATCCTAGTACTAATGAGTAGGTTGATAGTACATGTATATATACAATGTATACACTATTCAGGCTATTAGAATTTAAACTTACTTTATACAATATACAAACATCTTTCAATTCCATGAGGGATATATGTGCTTAAGATTTGTAGCTACAGTTCACATATTGCATCATCTACATGTATATCAAACTTTTCTTAGAATCTAGGATTTTAATCTACCTATATACATAATGTGTTCCAAACTAAATTTTAAGAACAATATCTTTTTATCAAACAGAAAACTAATAGAAAATTTCTAAAAACATTATTCATACATGAACCTACACGACTACAGATTTAAAATAGACAAAATACCGATTTTGACAATAGAACATATATTATGATGAAATTTGTCTTGGGGTCCAGCTGTTTGAACAGCAACATTTCAGTCTCCAGACAAATATTTCTAAACAAAAGGAATATCTTATTAAACAATGCCAGGTATATAACTAGTGTCGTTGTAACCATAAACCCTATTGATAGCTTCTGTATTATTTTTTTTTTCATTTTATTTCTTTATGGTTTCAAAAAATGAGAACTTTTCCCTATCAATACATACTCCATACAATTCAGTTCAGTGCCCTGTAATACTTTTTTTATTTATCATAATCTACTAAATTAGTCATTAATGATTATTTAACAACATTACTTTTCAAATTTGAATAATTGTTTCTTCATAGTTAAAAGCTCTATACATAAAATGAATGTATTTAGTATGCACATGTGGGATTGGTCATTAGAATCAACAGAAATACAAGGTTCTTCAATTGGTACATATGACTTGAGTCTTGAATCTTCAGAAATGTACAATCTACTCTACAGTCATTTGATAGTAGTTTGTAATTTAGACTAAAACTACATTTTTTAAAGCATTTTGAAATTATATACATGTACTGTGACCTTAAGTTGATCTGTATATATATATATAAAATAAACTGTAAAAACTTCCTTTTCCTTTTAAGTGCTTTTCACTTCTCAAGTTTTGTAATAATATATATATAAATACACACTTTCAGAAAATACAAATACATTGTAGTCATGTTGGTAATACCAAAAGTTTTATTAAAACATCTTAAATCTTCTTTTTATTACAGAAGTCAACAAGAAGTCACAAAATACAATCATTGTAAAACATCTTTTTTGTACACTGCAAAAATTAACATTTATTAGAACTTCACTAGAAATTGAACAATAAACTTTTTTTCTTGTTTAAATTTGGGATTTTTTTAATGAATATTTAATTCCTGTTGCATTTTTTTTTACATAAATCAAAATAATTCTGTGGGAATCTATTCAATAGGCACTAGCCTTGTTAATAATATAAGTGTTCTGTATACAATACTTACCATATTTGTAATTTAATTTTCTTTCCTCCTAATTCTACAGTTTTAATTTTAAAATCTATACCTGCAAAATAATAAAAAAGTTGTTTAGAACATTAATTATTTGTTGTGATTCTACATCTATGAGTACAATAGTAGTTTGGATTTAGTTTCAAATTCAAATCATTGCATATTTATTTCTTTGTTAAATTTGTTACTTTTGTGAATAACAATTCAATATATTATGAACTGAGCTACCTGTATGACTAAGATGAATTCATGTGAACTAAGCTACCAGTATGATTAAGATGAATTCATGTGAACTAAGCTACCAGTATGACTAAGATGAATTCATGTAAACTAAGCTACCTGTAAGACTAAGATGAATTCGTGTGAACTAAGCTACAGGTATGGCTAAGATGAATTCATATGAGCTAAGCTACTGGTATGGCTAAGATGAATTCATGTGAACTAAGCTACCAGTATGGCTGAGATGAATTCGTGTGAACTAAGCTACTGGTATGACTAAGATGAATTCGTGTGAAAACTTGCATGTCCAAGAGCATAATACATTGCTTTGCCAAATACAATGTACCTCTTGTGTATACCAATTACAGCTATATTAACCTCATTTACCTACAGAGATGCAGCTAATTGTCTGCCCTGACGGACCTAGGGGCAGAATTTTATAGGGTCCGGCAAATGACATCTTTGTATTGGACCAAATGATTGGCAAATATTTTTACTGTTTGGGGCTGTCAAAATCAAAATTTCTGTTGATCCTAGTCAACTTGGCTTCCAAATCAATTATGTAGTTTAAAAACATTGAAAACAAAAAGTTCTAATGACACATGTATTCCTGGTAATAGGTAAACGTGTTGAAGTAAACAGATTTCCATCTTCTCTGCGTTTATCCTATTAGCTTAAGTCATGTGATCATAATTATTTTCGTATTCCTCAGGATTTATCTTTACACATAGCAATGAATGAAAACGAAAGTAAACTTCCGGTAAAAATATTGAATAGAAGCATATTTTCAGCTTCTTTTTGATAGCTGAGGAATAATTCTGATAATTACAAGATTCAGCTAGTGTTATCAGGAGGCGTCCCTCGAACGCACAGTTCATGCAATGACAAGGTTGGGCGGTAAATACGACCCTAGATAATACTCCTCAAGTGGTCAATACTAGCAAAACGGGTAGATTGAAATTTTCATTGTGGTTTTTACTATTTATTGAAGTAAAAACTTGATAAAAAGTAAGATATAATTAAACATGTTTCAGCTTATATAAATGAATGAATTTGATGTGTTTCATTCATTTTTAACACTTATACTCACTAATTTAATCCTGATGAGTTATGATATTGCATAATTTAGATATATAAAAAAAATGGAATACTAATTATTTCAAAATTTATAAATCAAGATTTTTTTTATTGAAAATGTATGATTTCTACAGGTAAATGAAGTTACAGGTGTCTTATTACCAATCACCTGGCACTGCTAGGTTTGAAAATTGAATTACTAAAACAGCCCCCAAAAAATGTTGACAAAACATGGGTTGAAAGTAATAAAAGTGATATTTGAAGGCTCCCTTAAACAATAAAATATTTCCTGTCTATGAATTCCATCATAAAAAAATCTTCTTCATGCAGGAAATGAAAAGTTTGAAGAACCTTAACTGATATGGCTTCTGTAATTTATGGTTTCAAACCAAATAAAATGCTCCGCTGGGCGCAGCTTGATACGACCGCAGAGGTTGAACCCTGAACAGTTGGGGCAAGTATGGACACAACATTCAAGCATGTCAAGCTTGATACAGCACAGAATTTGGATTGTGATCAAATATTTGACACAGCATAGGTTTCTGACACAGAATGAATGTGGTCTAAGAACTTAAAATTTTTAATTTTACTTATTCAAACCATATCATTATTATTTGCTTTCATATATAAATCAGAAATAACCAATTTAAAATGGAAAATTTTAAAGAAATAAACTGCTTCACTGAGCGCAGCTGGATACGGGCGGTCCGCAGAGGTCCAACCCTGATCAGTTGGGGCAAAAATGGACACAATATTCAAGCTTGATACAGGTCTGAATTTGGATTGTAATTAAATATTTGATATATAATAGGTTTCTGAATAAATGTAGTCAAAGAACTTGAAATTGGTTACGGTATATGAAAGATTTCTTGCTGTTTTGCAATACACTGTGCTGTTGCGCAATACTTAGTAAATCTGTTGTCAGACTTTAAACAAATAAAATCTTATAACTCTGAAATGCAAAATCAAAAATTTATAAAAATCAAAAGGGAGCTTACAAAAATAGATATAAACAATTTACCAAGGTCTCATAAAAAATGCTGAAAGCATTTTTGAGTTATTGTCCGAAAACTGGAAAATCCCCCTTTTTGTAATGAATAAAACCCCATAAATATATATTCTGAAATTTATAAAAATCAAAAGGGAGCTCATGTCGATAGAAATAAACAATTCACCAAAGTTTCTTAAAAATTGGTGAAATTGTTTTGAGTTACTGTCTGAAAACTGGAAAATCCCCCCTTTCTTAATGAATAAAACCTGAAAACTCAGAAACGGTAAATCCGAAATTTATAAAAAACGAAAGGAGGCTCACGTCAATAGATATGAACAATTCACCAAAAGTATCATGCAAATTGGTGAAATTTTTTTTGAGTTATTAACAGAAAACTGGAAAATCCCCCCTTTTTTAATGAATAAAACCCCAAAACTTGGAAACGGTAAATCCGAAATTTATATAAAACGAAAGGGAGCTCACGTCAATAGATATGAACAATTCACAAAAGTTTCATGCAAATTGGTGAAATTGTTTTTGAGTTATTGTCCGAAAACTGGAAAATACCCCCTTTTTTAATGAATAAAACCCCAAAACTCGGAAAGGGTAAATCTGAAATTTATCAAAAACGAAAGGGAGCTCACGTCAATAAATATAATCAATTCACCAAAGTTTCATGCATATTGGTTAAATCATTTTTGAATTAATGTCCGACAAGTTGATGACGGACGGAGGGACAGACGGTCAGCGGTATACCATAATACGTCCCGTAAACGGGCTATAAAAAAAGGAAAAAAAATCGCCCCCTCAAATTTTTTGAACCCCCTTATGATTCATCACCCCCAAACTCAATCCCAGCCTTCCCTTTGTGGAATGGTACCTTGCAGTACAATTTCAGAGAGATCCATACACTTGAACACAAGTTATTGTCTGGAAACTAGAAAAATGCTTGTTTTTTGGCCCCAAATTTCTAAACATTTAGGGCAATTACCCCCAAACTCAAACCCAGCTTTTCCTTTGTGATATGGAACCTTGTAGTACAATTTCATATAGATTCATACACTTACACACAAATTATTGTCATGAAACTAGAATTGCTTGTTTTTTGCCCCTAATTCCTAAAATTTTGAGGCAATTACCCCCAAAATCAATCCCAGCCTTCTATTTGTGGTATGGTACCTTGCAGTACAATTTTAGAATGATCCATACACTTGAACACAAGTTATTGTCTGGAAACTAGAAAAATGCTTATTTTTGGCCCCTTATTCCTAAACGTTTTGGGCAATTACCCCCAAACTCAATTCCAGCTTTCCCTTTGTGATATGGAACCTTGTAGTACAATTTCAGAAAGATCCATACACTTACACACAAGTTATTGTCATGAAACTAGATAAACGCTTGTTTTTTGCCCCTTTTTTGGTCTCTAATTTCTAAACTTTTGAAGCAATTACCCCCAAAATCAATCCCAGCATTCCCTTTGTGATATGGTACCTTGCAGTACAATTTCAGAGAGATCCATACACTAACACACAAGTTATGTCTGGAAGTTACAAAAATGCTTATTTTTGGCCCCTAATTCCTTAACTGTTGGTACATGTACCATAACCCCAGAAAGCAATCCCAACCTTCCTTTTGTGGTATTGAACCTTATGGTAAAATTTCATAGAGATCCATTCACTTAAAACTTAAGTTAGAGTGCGAAAACCAATCTTCGGACAACGACGACACCAACGTCATACCAATATACGACCGAAAATTTTTTTGCGGTCGTATAAAAATATATAAGGTGGTACCTTTTACCTTTTCATAATCAATTTTTACATACAAATAGTACAACCACCTTGGCATTTAGCACCAAAATGAAACCTAAAGACCCTATTTGGAACTTTTTTACTATATAAGACAAAAACAAAACCAGTGCACAATATAATGATTGCAATGCTTATAGAAAAGCCACTTGACAAGTTCCCTTGGCAGGGACAAAACAGTTTCTATCTTTTACTTTAATATTTTGTACTAATAAATCATTGCTAATCATGGTTTATTAAGAATCTACAATAAAAATAGAATGAGAACATTTAAAATGACTTAAACACTTTCATTATTTCATTACTAACAGTAATTGACAAGGTAGAGAGTGGTTTTAATAGTTATAGTAATGTCCACTCAACATTTCAATCAACCAGTATTTGCCAGTACTTCAATGCCAGTATTTAAATTAAACAAAAAACAAAGTATCATTTAAGTTTTCTTAGAGTATATTATTTTTCATTTTAGTTAATTTGTGAACACAAATATTTTTTTGACGTAAATGTAGCTTGCCAATGTCTATGTTTTTGATCTAATTGTTCTTACATATGCCAATAAGACAATTGCAACTATCCATAATGTTAATGGATAGTTATCTTATTGGCAAGTGTAGTACAACATTCTCATTTATTTATTTGATGTTGCAGGATAATTTAAATTTAATGTGGTCTCAGTCATTAAACCACCCCATTGTCATATCCTTATTTAACCTGGTCACTCTAGTCAAGGTTTAAAGGTGTATCTTAATCCAATTGGGAACTTTTTAATTATTTCCATAAAAAACGACAGTTGATAGGACTGGCAAAACTGTCTTACATGCAGCATCACCCAATGTCTGTCAGGAAAAAAAATTATCTGCATCTCTGAAATAACCTACTCATACAAGAACTTTATAGGCCAATCTTTTTCTTTTTTTCAGTAAATTCTGAGGTTTTTTTTCTTTTTGATTGAAACTGTGTTAGTATTTGGTGCTAAAAAATCAAATCAATTAACCTGTAAATGACTTGTTATCTTGGATGTATCATGGAAAGTTGTTTTATTATCACCCTTACTTTAAGCAGTTGGTCAGAGAATAACAATCAAATATATTGTAGCTAAATGTAATCATGTGTCATAGATGCAATCAAAACTATGTCAGCTATTATTCTCTTAACTTTATACATGTATCATTAAAACAACAACAGAAAAAAAGCCTTCATTAATACCCTTCAAATTCTACATCTTGACTGACTTAAAACTGAATAGTTAAACTATTCATACTAGATGACAATATAAACAATAAGCTAATTGATTACGTAACATTCCATGCATCTTAATATCATCGCCTGGTTCTCCATTAAATAGCATGATGGTGTATCCATTTTAAAATTAGGGGAGATACAAAGCTGCAGAATGAGATTTGAAGTTCTGCATTTTTGTTTTTCTGTTATCCAAAAACCAAGAAAAAACGAGACATTAAACATTTCAATCATTTCACATTAACAGTTATCTCCCCTTTAAACAATAAGCGACAGAGACTCCGCTGAAACTAAAGTTATTAAGACCTTAGTATGGCTAGTAAAAAAAACACTGGTCAATAAGATGCATGTACAATGTATGAGTCATCATCACCTCATCAGTTCAATCACTAGGTATCAAATGAAGTGTTTTAAACATCAACACTCACCTATTGTTGATATAAATGTTGTATTAAAAGCATCGTCTGAAAATCTAAATAGTAAACATGTTTTCCCTACTCCAGAATCGCCAATTAAAAGTAACTTAAACAATAAATCATATGTCTTTTTCGCCATAACTTGAAGAAGTGTTTTTGGTTTGATAAAATGGCGGTCTGATTTTCCTTTTTTCTTATTTTCTGACGATTAATTCCTGTGTTTAGCTGTCAAGATTCTGACTGACGTTCAACATGGTGTTGTTCTTGTAAAGTTAACAATATTGGACTGTCTATTTTAGGACAATGATTAACAAGCAACTGATCGACCGATCAAAAAGTAAATTTTCCGTCTGGTCACGTCACTTCCTACTGGGTCATTAACAAGGGAGATAATTTTTTTCAATCTCTTTGCAACTTCCGAAGCAAAATCGTAAGCTCTCCGGAGTTTCCCGAACTACTGCGTTTGATTGCCGAGTCTACGATCGTCGGACCTTATCAGCGGCTCTTGTTGGTTACTTTATCATATTCTGATTATTCAATAATATGGTGCTACCTTGTAAGCTCCCAAAAGTTATATATTGATTACGAGTTTTATTTTTTTTGTCTTTTAAAATACTTGCCAAAGCTCATCATACTTTTTGGAAATATATAAGTATAATCGGTTAGGTTTTTCCAGAGACAAGTGCCGGTGTATATGAACAGAGGCGTATTATATATCTCTGATAACTTTGAACTATTTAGTGAGAGGACATAATCTATATAGCGGACATTGAAGTTAAATGGTAATGCTAGCAACTGTTACATTTGTTTTCCCTTTCGTCACAAGTATTAAGCAATTATGGATGACCATGTTAATATATGCAAGTTTTCAGCGGTATTAGCTTTTCTGGAGTATGATAGCGCCAGGTCGGAAGTCTTGGATTAGCTACAACTCCTTTGAAGGTCAGTTTGTTTCCAATATATTTTTTCTACTCTGTATACTACACTGCCACCCTATCTTCTCCATAGGTACTTGGGGACAGGACAATTTGCTTTTGCCCTCCCCCTTTTTTCCAAAATCCGTTATTTTTTCGATTTCTATTAATTTCAATTATTTTCGCGTTTTTCTGTATCATAAGACCATAAATATACTACAAATAACTTGTTTTGCTATTTACTATCAATTCCAAGTTTACTATCCATAGCGGTCACTGATATATTATATAGAGAGCTTCTACATTTTTGTATACAATTTTAAGAAAAGGTCGTCTCGAGCTTTTTACAAGAATTTGCGGTCTTCTCGATCTATTCACATTCAATGTTTACATCGAGATAAGGTCTGTTTGATTTTGCTTTGTAACTTAATTTCAAAAGTGCCAATCTTTGCTGTATATCAATCGATTCCTTTGGAATTTTTTCCCTGACTTTCTCTGATCTAGCTGTATATATATACGAAAAATTAGCATGTTCCAGAGAGGTATACAGACGGTAAAAAAATAATTTGAAGTTGGTACTCCAGTGATTTATTCGCATAGCAACATTTTAAACCAATTTTACTCCAAGCATCTATAGCCTACTGTACTCGTCGTTTGCTACTTAAGGAGGAAAATGATAATATTGAGTGGAAGATTTGTTTTTATTTCAATTTATTTCTATTTTTACTATTTACAAAAACGTTTTTCCGTGAATCCATAATTGATAGCGTCCTTGCTAAAATGGGACAAACATTGAGAAGATCTAGCTTTCAGTGTTTACAGGGAAGGTAATATTTTGTCACTAGATTTCCCACTGCAGTTGATACGATATTCCATAGTCTCGATCATCCAGCCGCTTTATTTTCCAAAGTATAGCTATATTTATATATGCGTCTGGGTAATCGAGACTAGATATTCCACGGCTTGCATTTCCTACCATGATTTCCTTTGATACATGGTTTCTGCTCTAAAGGAAGCTGTTAGACCAAGAGTTCTAAGTGATGAAGTTGACTTCATCCTTTCAAAAATTTTACAGACGCCATCACGAGTCAGTTGACCGTTATCATGGTTATGGAATATCCCACAGATGACGACGGATATGTTTCAATTGTCGTAACCACCATCCCGTCCTCTTTTCCCCGAATAAGACCTACCGAATTAGACTTATCACCGGGTTTGTACTTACATGAGTAACATGACGGTGCCACATGTGGATCAGTATATGTTTACCCCAACGGTACACCTTGATTACCCCCGGTTTATGGTGGGGTTCGTGTTGTTTTTTTGTATACTGTTGTTTCTCTGTTTGTCGTTTGTCTCCATCCTCCCCCCTCCCCCCCAAATGGCGTTGTCAGTTTATTTTCGACTTATGAGTTTGAATGTCCCTTTGGTATCTCTTTCGCCTCTCTTTTGTATCAATTCATGAGACAAAACAGAGATTACTATAACACACGAAAACGTATTTCGAGGGTATGCAAGTAACCTATTTTTTCCACATAAACTTCAAGTTAGTAAGTCATGCAAATCCTGAGTATTTTACTAGTAATGTAGTAGAGTCGTATACCATGTAATATATATAATATAAATATTGCTTTGCTTTGTATTTATAGTCCTATAACTCAGCTGGTCTTACAACATATTTGAACAAAACTCAATATTGATCAATGAACCATGCAAAGTAGTTTAAATCAATGGAGTCTTGTCAAACAGACACATCCTCTTCGTATATGTAAGAGAATGGTAATCCCTTTCTTCATGAATAAGTACGAGCGTTAGCGAGTACTTATCATGATGAAAGGGATTATCATTCTCTTACAAACTTAGAATATTGTAAAGTGCTCAAGGCTCAAATGATCTCTTGATTGGTTTTATTAAAAAATTAGTTTCATTGTCAGTGCAATGTTTATAATTGATGCATGACTTCCTTTTTCGGCATGTCATTTATGGATAAGTTTTAGTGATGTGAGGACTTTCTTATCATTTGGGAATTTTTTTTTTTTTAAATGCGTTATAGATATTAGGTGACACAACAGTAGAAAGAAAAGGTAGGAATTGTATGTTTCCTAATTGTGAGTATGAATGTAAATCATGTAACATTTTAGTGAGGAATTATCCTTTTTTATTTACAGTTTAAATCAATTAATACATTTGAGTTACAACTAAATTTTATTTCACAGCCAATAATTTGGTCCGGCTTTTTACATATCAAATACTGTTTCATTATGTCAGGGAAATGTTCAAAAATAATGCCCTTAAAAGTTTTTAATATGTTCAAAATTAAATTTCTGTTTTTTTTTTTCGGAATACATGTATTGGAAATAACTATTCTCCCCAACCGCTGATCAAGTAATCAAAGTTTTGGAAAGCTAAAGATTTAGGTTATTTTTTATCTGAAAGATTATTTTTTCTTTTTTTTTTTTTGCATTACTTTGGTATTGTTTAATTTTATAGTAATTTGAAGTTATTAATATTTTCATAATAAAATTCACGGTACCAATTTTACTGCACCAGTAAACTTAAAATTGTTTTGAGATTTTTTTTTGTTTCACAATTCAACTTTTAGTCAGTTTCAATCACTGTGTGATAAATCCTTTCAACCTGATAAATGTGCTTCGGGGTAGTTGTAACTCATTTATAGAAACTCTTTGTTTTGAACTGAAAATAGACCCAAATAATAGGATAATCCCTTACTAAGAACATGATTTACATTCATTCTTCACAATTAAGAGGCATCCAATTCTACAATTTCATTGGTCGAGAGTACTTTGCTATATTCTAAGTAGACCATGTATACTGACCTATACTTACAGTACGAAACTATCTAATTACGAACAAAATTATGTTATCGATGAACCATGAAAATAAGGTCAAGATCACATGTACATATGAGACGGACATGAAAACATGTGAATACTAGTTGTTCCAATACTATAGAAGGTGACTTATTACTATTATACTCTTTCTTAGTATATACTTGACTAATTACTCATCAACATAAATTGACTTTATCGTGAAAACCTGTATGTTGATTTTAAACATGTGGTCATGGTAACATAAACTATCATAATGCATGCGGAGGTGCGATGGGACGCTGAAGTATGATGGCCACGCCATAGTGCGATGGTCTGTGCCGAAGTGCGATGGTTCGTTCGCTGATGTGCGATGGTCTATATTACGCGTGACGGCTAGTAGTTTAAAACCTACAGATGTTCAATTATTATGAGAAGTAGATACAAGGTTGGAATTTTAGACATTTACTCGGAATTTCGGGGTTTTTTTTTTACATTTCTATCCTTTGGATAGACATACTTAAGGTACTGAGGACAATACAAAGATTTTTTCACCCCCAATCAGACAACTTTAAACTGATGTAATTTCTTTCCATACGCAACTATTATCAGCACCCGCTTTGCGCATGCGTCAAATTTGACCACAATCGATATCGATAAATTTGCTATAGATTGTTAAAGAAATCTTAAATTTTGATTAGCTGTCAGTAAATGTCACTACATTTCTTTTTCATTGGCATCAATTTTGAAAGTTCAATTTTCAAGCTTTCGACAAATCTAATTTGTATTTTGATAAGGATTGCAGAAGTTACGGCCTTTTTCAATTAAAAAACACCGGGTGCACGACCTATTACTTTCATACAATACGAAACCAAACTGAATGTGTGCACATGGGTTTTCTTTTATGTGAATTGACATACAATCTTTATTAGAAACAGCTTCATTCGCATGTATATTTATTCTCTGGTTTTAAATCTATCCAACGATATAAATTTCATATTTTACAATTTTTTTTGAATCAGGGCCTTTTTTATTAAAAAATCGAGTTGCGATCATTTTCTGAAGTTGACCAGAAATAATCTAAGTCATACCAGGTAAATATTCATGGATAAATAATTAACACATGCCAATGTGATGACTTCTGTTATTCTCTGTAGTTTATGATTTTTTTCTTTGTGACGGTTTAATAGCCTCTTTCTTTTCAAGTTTACTTTATAAATTGTAAATTTCAATGCACAAAAGTTTCAAATGAGTAAAAAAATATATTCTCCAAGATAAACCAATTGCCAAAGTCTTAAAAGAATAGGACAAGGACAGCATATGTGATCATATGTGCCAGTGTGGACTATATACGAAAATATTTGTATATAGTAATGCTAATTTAAAGATTACAAAACGACAAACGCTTAAAACAGGAACATATATATTGACGGGACTTGACACTTCCTAATTATGCAAATTTCATCGTCGGGTGTTAGATATACTGTTCCCAGCTTAAAATTGAAATAAATTGAACTAGATATTTTAACAGTTTAAGAAGCAAAATTTTCGATACATACATGTACATGTGATATATACTAGTCTATTGCTTGTTTGATGCACATTCTCCTTTTATCCACTTAACTTTTAGAA